ACACACGCACACACACACACACACACACACACACACACACACACACACAAGGTCACTATGTAAACACAAGCCAAAATAAAGAGTTTTCACATCACTCATCTTCGTGTTTCGTTTCTGCTTCCTCATTCTATTTGGGGGGAATTAATGAACCGAGTCTTCTGCACTGCAACTGCCATCTATGATCATCAGCGGTGTTTTTTGTCGCAGAAACGGAAGGAAAAGGCACAACTACTACATTGTTTAGTCCCACTGTCACTATTTATGTTCATTTTGTTTGTTCTGCTATGTACATAAGGAGGTCTGTCATTTTCTGTCATCCGCATTCCTCCCTTGTGTCATTTTTTTTTTTTTTACTTTCGGGATGCTCTTTTGGTTTCATGTCTTCTGCTAAACTGCTTAATTCTTGTCGAGTCAGTTCTGGGGTACACAATTCGACGTTATGTAATAAACGCGCTTAGGATGATGGAAACACGGCATGAGAAACGACAAAAGATGGAAACAATTAGCATGCACCACAGGCATGTCGTGTTCGGTGCCAGGATGGCCACATTTAGAAGCCAAGGGGGGGCTGGGAGGAAAAAGGGAAAAGCAAACTTATGACAACAGGACCGATCTTATTCATGGGCTGCTTCTTTATTTTCCTCAACGATTTCAATATGTCACTAGGGTTAGGAAGTTAGTTTAGCCTAGAAATCAGCTGTGGTCATTCAGTCTGAGAACAAATGTGATACTTTGCATACTAGATGAACGTGTTGAACCCTCAAGAGTTTAAAACATCAAGCGCAGCCACATGTGGAGCAGCAGCTCTTGGCCCTTTCTTCAAACACACTGCTGCTATAAAAAGCATCTAAGGGCATCCTTCATACCATACCTTTTAAAAGCAACACCATTTCCGAATGTTGTAATGTGCACTCAACCCACACCAACGTTAATACAGTTAACCCATACCAAGGCGCTTCACACGATGCCAATCAGCATCTCGATTCACCACTCAGTCGTGCACAGCCCTACAATATGTATATATATAAAAAAACTAAAAGTAATACTATAACCAATAACATTTAACTAAAATGAAGCTTTATTATATTAAATTAAATCTACCGATAATTAATTTCCTGTATTCTTAAAAATGGATGCTTTTCTTAAAGCATGGTTCACATTCCTTTTCCTAAAATCCAGGTCGCGTCACAGAAAAAAAAAAGAACTCTCCATTCTGCAAATCTCAGCTGTGCCAGGATGACAAGCTGGGACAGGCATTCTTCTTGCTCAACTCACCGCCATGCGTCTGGAGAAGGGGTCATGGAAAAATATTCAAGTGTGAAATGGCAGAATCTTTCTGACGATGGGTCCCTGGATTGTTTTATATCCCCCCCCCCCACCACACACACCTCTGTTTGCACTGCACAAACCTTCAAATTACACTACTCTGAAGTATATATCTAAAGTGCATGATGACTACAGAGTGTGATGGTGTGGCATCCTGTGAGGGGAAGTTTATAAGAGAACAGTGACTGTGCCCTTTTAAGGCAACATTCCTGACGAGCGCAGCGAAAAGGATAACAATGCTTTTTGCTTGAGGACTCTACAAGTCTGAACTTAACCATAGTAACAGTCTGTGTGTGTGTGTGTTCCCGGTGATGATGATGTTCATTAGGAAAAATACCACAGATACACACACGCACGATCAAGGGTGAAAAGCGGTCTCCAGTTGCATCATCCGCAAGTGGAGATTTTTATGATTTTTTTTTTTTTTGCAGTTCCTCATAAATGTATGTATCGCTGCATGGACTCCAGCGGGCGAGTCCGTTATGTTTCCGCCAGATCACGTGCCTCAACTGCACTGAATTTAAAGGGAATGAGAAGAGCCGCTTCGATTGCCCGGGGAATCAAGTTGGCTGTGTTCACTCCCACAACTGCGCAAACGCCAATGAGGGCAAGTCCTATGATAAATGGGTGGATGGATGAAACTACTTTAAAGGGATTACAAATTCCAATTTAAATAATTTGATGGGTGCGGGTGGGGATTATTCCGAAAAAGACAGTAAACAATTATTTATACTGTATCCTGATTTATGTACCGGTATTTGGTTTTCGACAATCACTACTTATTTCTTTCTGTCAATGTTGAAATATTGTAATCCAGGAAGCTCTGCACCAAATGAGGATTCAGCTATAAGCAATAGGATGGAATGCAATTTATCAAATTAATCCATCCTAAAAATGTAGCGGTTTTAACGGGTTACACAATCTCAAATGGCAAATGTACTTCATTTATTTTTACTTTTCGTATTTGGTTGTAAAACTACACAAAAAAGGCCCTGTAACACTGCAAGTTTTAATTCCTTTTTTTTAAATGATCATTTGTGCTGAGTTCAATAACTTGACAATCACATACTTGTCATGGCCGATAGTCTCATAGTCTTTCACAATCACGTCGATGAATGAAGACGCGTCCAACGCTAAACCCTTTAAATCAAATTCCAGCCCCTGCAACAAGAAAAAAAAAAAAGAGATACATTTGTTTCACAAAGATGCTTTTCTACATGTCGAGTCAACATTTCTTCATTTCTTGTTTCACTATGAGCGGCCCACAAGTCCTGTGAACTGCACTCACTTCATTCCACACGGGATTTAGCTCATTGTCAACAGGTTTGGTTTTCTTCTTTTCACCTGAAATCACAAAGGCAACCTCGTTGGAAAAAAGAACAGTGTCACTGCGGCATTATGCAACTGTGAAATCAGTGTAGACACAATAAAGGAAGCAGACTTGACAAATCAAGTGTTATGAATGATTATTTCGTTGAATTGCAGTTATTATTGTATGTCTAACATTGGAAGCCACACTGTGTTTGCACCGAGGAAAAACAAAAAATGATATTTGATTCTAACGGAGTATTGTATTGCACATACAAATTCAACTACAAATAATTAAAAAAATGTTTACAAGCAAATAGATTAAAAGAAAAGTTGAATACAACTGAACTGTACTTTGGAAAATTTATTTTGCGAACCACTAGAGGGAGCCCATAACTAGTGGTACACATACTACATTTTGAGAATACGTAGCCAAGTAGAATTTATTTTATTTACCTTATCATGGTCATAATATTCAGTTTGGACTCAAGAGAAAACCCATAAACTTCATTAAAGATGCAATGATATATAAGTATTTTCATACAATTGTAAATTGCTCTTTGTGTTGTATATTATTACTTCTAGTGTCTAATAAACAAAGCTATAATGGCTATTTACCATATGATGGTCCCAATTCACTTTAAACTCAAGAAAAATGTTCAGAAATGCCATAAAATCATAAAACAAAGGTGACTTAAGGTAAGCTGATATAAAATATATGTTAAAAACCGACACTCCAAATGCTATATTGCTGAAATATCACCTTTCGCTATGTCAAGTCATTCATAATCTCTCACCTCTGAAAACAACAGAAACAATTGGGTCAGGGTTGCCCAGTTTCTTTTTGGGGATCCCGCACGCAGACTCAACAATTACCCGCAACATGGTTGATAGTAAATCCAAAATGTGTTCTCAGAGGAGGAGGAGGACCATATTCCTTAGAGTTAGAGGAAAACTGAAAGGAGGAGAAGTGAAGAGGAGACGTGTGGCTATGGGAGGAGGAGAAAGAGGAGGAGGAGGGCGACCTCATTTGTGAGTCGGATTGAGCTGACTGAAACCAAGCAGCCAATAAAAACAGAACAAAATCTCTGCTTTACTTCAGTAATTATTTTTAGGACAACTATTTTTTTAATTTTTTGCTCCTTATCTTTGAACAGACACTGCATTTGAACTTACGACTCCTTCCTACTCTTTTGACAGCTGGAACATGTTTTGGTTCTTTAATGATGATGTAACAGATTCAAAGCAAGATCCAAGGCATTATTTAAGAGAAATTATTTACTTTATCAGCTCCAAGAAAAGCAATTTGCCAAATGCATTGTGCCAGCCTAAAACATACCAGCATCAAACTTTCAACAATTCTTGGAATCACATGTAGAGTTTTGAATTAGTTAGAGATAATTTCACATTTTTTATTAGTCTGTTCATAACGCGTCATGTTTTTTTCCGGTTTTCATGAAATCATTTAGTATTGTTGTTAGTTCCAGAAGTGTATTTTTTTTCAGTTGTTATTAAAAGCTAATTCTGCAATTTTTTGTTTATCGGTTCACAATGTGATGTTTTTCAGTGGGCATGGACTAATTTCACCTTTTTTGTTTTATCAGTTTGCAAGGTGAGTTAATGTCATTGGAGATTGGGGACAATCTCCCATGAAGTTATCCTTTGCTCATTTTTGTTGTTTTTCAGTTAATTGGCGAATTTGCCATTTTCTTGTACCGTACTTGTTTTTTCAGTGATCATGAACTAATTTAGCATTTTTTATAAGCCAGTTCACAACAAGTATTTTCCCCCAGCTGGTATATTTTGCTAAGTGTGTTGTTGTCTTGGTTTTCGTTACCCAGTTCACAATTTGACTTTTACAGTTGTTAAACATGAGCTAATTTTGAGGACATTTTTGTCTTTTTTTGTGTGTCACCACTTAAGTACAGCGTTAGTATGCATGAGTACTTACTTTTGCCACCTCTTCAATAAAATACGCCGAAATAATAATAAAAACCAACCACGGCCTCCTCTGCCTCGCGTTTGTCGTTCTTGTACCCATTACCAACGAGTATTTTACATTATTCTGATTTTTGCTACGCCATTTGTCACAATGATGATTCCTTCGCGCCTCCCAGTGGTGATTGGGAAGCAATGCCTCGTTCCTGTACCTCAAGTACCGGGGAAATTTTTCCTAATATAAAGTGAACACCCACACATGTCTACCTTTCCATACACTCCACACTTACACTTTATTTTTATGTAAAACTATCATTAAATTCAAAAAGTCTACTTTCATATTCGTGAATGATAACCGAATCATGAATATACTTATAAAAATTCCGAGTTACCACGAAGGCGTCATTGTCTTCGTCCTGCTCTTTGAGCAAAGATTATTTTTACAGTAAATTTTCTCTCACCTTCGCCCGCAGAGGTCGATAAAATTGACCCTAACTCCACACAGCATTAAATCCCTTGTATTTTGTGACAGGTAACTGCATTTTTTTGTCGGATTACAGCGTCAATGCAAGCATAACAACTTGTATTTTATTTATTTTTTGAACGAACACAAGTTGTCGCTTAAGCTAACTACCAGTGTTAACCTACAGTAGTGCTGCGATAGCTTAAATTTATTTTGAGGGTTATTCTTTGATATACAGTATTCTTGTAATTTATTTATGAATTCACCAGTTATAACATCAACTGCACACTGAAAGATTGTTGAAATTCTCTTTTGCAAGATGTACGTAGAACTACTTTTCTCACTTTCCTTCTGGTGCAAATAATCAAGTAGGACATGTCCTGCAACAAACACATAAATCTGTGGGAAATCCATTTTGCAGGAGGAGGTTCAATCTGGAGGAGTGGACCGTCATGTCTACGACACAGGTATCGCCGATTCACCCCAACAAATTTCAAATTATAAAAGAATGTTTCTTTTTTCAATTGATGTGAAAATAAGGGCTTACTGTTGTGAATTCTACATTTCAGCTCCTTTTAGAGAACTAGTTTTGCAGAAAATAACCAAAACGTTGAACAATTGGACGTGTCACGTGTGTCCCACATTTTAGAAGTCAAATCAAATTCATAAAGTTTTTATTGTATTTTAAATTCATCCTGAAATTTCATCCGAGATGACACCCGGCGCATCAATTGGAGGGATGGTGGCGGAGTGATTTCAGAGCGAAAAGAGCGAAAGATTATGCCTGAGTTCTACAGTGAAAACAGCATGGAGGAGAAAAGAGAGGAGTCATCAATACGGTGTCCAAGTGTCCCGAACTTTGGAATACGAGACAGATGTGATACAGTGACATGGTTAAAAAAAAAAAAAAACTACTCCCTCCTCTGCCTGAAGTACAGCTCGACATTGTTGTCACGGTGCTTTAGCTCACGGAAAAGCCTCAACTCCTTCAGATCCTGCTGTGCCATTAGAATCAGAGGCAATCGCAAAATGTCCTTTCTTTTATCTGTTGCTTGTCTCCTCCTCCTCATCCCCTTGTGTATCGCCAGGGCTTGTCATTAAAACAGTGACAAATGTGGTCGTCTGAAAAAGTCTGAAACAGCAGGAAAAAGCACCGGGATACTTCCTGTTTGGTTGCTCAGCAACCAGCGTCAAATATGGGCAAGTTTGTGACATGCCACAATCATCGGTACGTCGTAGTGCATTTCAGCGGAAATTAAATGCAGTGTGTAAGTGTAAGCACCTTAATGTCGGACCACCTCCAACTCTCTCAAGCACCTCTCTCAATAGAGTTGTACAAGTAAGATTGACTTCCACCGGGCTCCTCTCTTGTTTGTTGTTTCTTTCTTAGCGGAAATTAAAGTCGATTTGGGAATGCTAAATTTAGCGACCAAAAATGTTGCTCCACAGCAATGTTGTTTGTTGAAGTGGAGCATGTCAGCAGGGTCGCAGTGAACCACAGAAGCTGCGAGACAAAAAAAAAAAAAAAAAAAAAAACACCCTAACAAACAAACACTGAAAAAAAAATGATTGGCAGAGGTGATCAGTGTCATAGACATCATGTTGTAAGCGCTTGTACCAGATTAGCACTAGAATCAATCAGTTTGAACAGTAAAGGCATATGATGTGATCAGATCATTGGCCTGCTTCGAACAAAACACTCAAGAGGCTCTGAGTAAACGTATCGATTAAATCTTGTGTTTATATTGGTGAACTCTCCAGCCAAGAATGCCGATTCATGTGTTGTAATAATCAGCTAATGATGCATAGCTGTGAGGCTGCTTTCATAGATACCAGAACCCCGATTAATCTCGAAATGAGTCGTCCACTTGCCTAAATAGATGTTCATCCATATTTCAAAAAAATATGCGTGCTAAGGTTAAAGGACAAATCTATAATATATTCTCCGTAGTTGTGAATTTGAATGGTTGTTTGTTTATGTGTGACCTCCTGCATTTGTTTGTGATGGTCTTTGACAAAATAGTTTCAAAGTCCCTTCTGCCTTCTACCGGTTTGCGCCTCTAGATGGTAGTCACGGTTTTTAAATTGTTTCTATGCTAGCATGAGCCAGCAAAAAGATTGGGGTGAAAAGCATGAATGGCTAAAAACGGTCCTCAAGATGACGGTTTATTTCAATCTGCCCTAAAAACTGAATTGTTCACTGTTGTTTTCACTTGAGGCAAAATAATTATTTCACCGCCTTGTTTTTCTTTGTGATTTTTTTTTTACTTCATTTTTGTCCTTTCATTCAGTGGTTGTCAAACTTTTTACAGTTCCACCTAAAAAAAAAAAAACATCTCCAGATAAAATCTACTGCACTTGAGTTAAAGGGGGAAAATGTACCTGAATGGTTCAAAACTGATATTCTTGCCTTGCCTAAAAAGGTGTGGCATGTTAGCCACCATTTAGAAATGTGTCCCTTTATACATCATGTACAATGTTTTCTATGTCTTATTTATTTTTTTTATGACTGTATTAGGGCAACACTTCAAATGAACATTACTCCAGTGATGTTGCAGAGCTCCAAAAGACTCTCAAAGATGTAGGTAACCTTTTGCTCTTAAGATATTTAAAACAAACAAAATAAAAAATTAGCAAGTACACATTTTTTTTTTTTTTTTTTAATAGTGACAAGTAAATTAAAAATTACTAAGGCCACTTTGCTGTTCGGCGAACAATTTGTTTGATTGTTGCATTATGTTTTGTACATACATTGAAGGAAAAAAATGCTATCACATGCTTCTACCGTTTGATTTTGTTTATCGATTGCACTGGTGCCTTGAGATTCGAGTGACTGTGGCACTGTCTTAGACTGCCCCCTGTGGCCAAGGTGGGCGCAGCAGAATGAGCAGCACAATGAAATGAATTGGCACATGAAATCACAGATTAATTCTTCTTCATTAAATTATAACTGTATGTTTTTATGAAGTACAGTATTGTAAAATGCTGTTCTCCTCATTAAAAGACACATTACACAAAGGCTTTTTTTTTTATTTTGTGTGTGGACACCAGAAAATATTTAAGTAGATTTACGTCCCATGGCAGCACTATAGTCAAGTATGCACATATGCACACTCGTTGGCTGATTCTTTGTTCGTTTGGAGAGCTTGTTATTGACACGTCTGCCTCACTGCGTTTCCATTATGTGCTTCTCAAACCAAGGCCTTGGCCAAGAACCAGCAGTGGCTGGCTTACAACCAGCAGCGAGAGGCCTACGTGAGGACAGTCGTGGACAGAATGCTGTGGCTGGACAACCAGCTGGACCAGGCCGTCCGGGCCCAGTTGACACAGCACAATAAGGAGCATTCAGAGGGTAAGACACAAGGCGGCGTGTCACCAAAGGCGCAACAACGGCGAGATCTGTTAAGATGTTTTTGTTTGCGTCCCTGCTCGCAGCAGAGGAGAGAATGAGGGAGATGAAGGAGCATTTTGAAAGCCTGCTGGTGATTGGTCGAGACAACCTGCTGATAGTCAAGCAGCGGCTCGACGTCACCCTCCAGGACCTGGCAGAAACTAAAAATAGGTGCGCCGCAAGAAACACACTGCGAAACTATGTGTCCAGAATGTCTTCATGTACAGGTGCTTCTGAATAATTTAGAATAAGGTATGGCTTTAAAAGTTGTTTATGTGAAATATTACACACTACTCCAATAGGTCTTCATAATACATGAGATTCACTTTCCAAGTTGAACGACGGAATCGAATCGAGTTCTCCGATAAATTCAGATTCATTGAGATGCACCTGTATGACCGACGAAATGTGCAGGGTTGAGGAAAAAGAGATGGAGGCCAGTGAGCTCAAGCAGCAGCTTCGGCGTTGCTCCAAGGAGAAAGAACTGTTGATGAACGAGATAATAGTGCTCCACGGGAGACTGGGCGAGGAGAAGCGTTTCGCCAAATTGGAGCGGCAGGTACAACGTAACCATCAACCACAACTTGTAGACTCGCTATTTGTTCTGCGTGCCGGTGAAAATGTATCAACTTCATTGGATCGTCACTGACTATTCATTGAAAGGTGAGTATTCGTGATGTTTGGTTCTATTAACCATTTCTGATCTCCTTTGACAGAGAAAGCAGCAGGAGGAAGACTACGAGGAGGAGGAGGAGGAGGATGAAGAACCCGTCTACGAAGAAATGAGACCCTGTCGCCCCTCCGGTGAAAGCATCTTGGACGCAAGCACCCTGCACTGCCCCATCTGTCGGATCCAGTGTCCTGTCAGTCAGTACCGGCAGATGATGGACCACCTGGAAGTCTGCATGAATTGAGCTGAACCTCAAACATCCTGAGGTCTGCAAGATCTTCAACGTTGTGAGTTGTTCGCTCGCTTGAGTTGTTCCGGTTTTAAATAAGCACCCGAGATCTTTTCATGTTCTTTTCATGTTCTTGTGCTTTGATTGTCATTTAAAAAAAAAATGAAATGAAATAAAAATCTATATTTGTGACACTTTGACAGGCCTCTGTTGGTCGTGGTTCCCCTGCTATTCCTCACACGGATCAGAAAAGATTACTTGCTGAAAAGATCTACTATAAGATTGTCCATCCACGATCTGAGTCGCTTGATTCCTGCTGTCTTGGTCCCTGGTCGCCAGCCAATCCCAGGGTGCACATAGACAAACACCCATTCACACTCACAATCACACCTAGGGACGATTTAGAGTGCCCAATCAACCTGCCATGCATGTTTTTGGGGATGTGGGAGGAAACCGGAGTACCCGGATAAAACCCGCCCAGGCACGGGGGAAAAAACGTGCATAATTAAACCTTAAAAGAATTTGTTCAACACATTGAACTACAATGTCAGCCCATCACCAGGTGATGCTTACAAAACACCTAATGACACTGGTCATCAAACTCACAGCCCCTGCGAGAAATCCTCACTAATCCCGTCAACTCTACCTTGAACTCTGACGCTTCCTTTACACAGGTTAAAACCACTCAGAAAAACAGCATTGTTTTATTCTTTAAATTAGCTTCTGTAAGGATTTTTGGTTTGTGCTACTGCTCCATGTGATCCTTAATGTGACTCCATCTATGCTACCAAAAGTTGAATCAAGCAAATTCTTCATGGATTCATCCATGACTATATCTGTAATCTCAACATGCAATAATAACAAATTAAATTAAGAATTGAAAAAAAAAAATCTATCATTTGCACAAATGAAAGAAAAATGCAGTTGCCGCCCCCTCCAGCAATGCCAGCCTACATATTGTGCGTGCCAGAAACCGCAACTATTTTAATATTGGTTTCTTCAACCAACCAGATTTCAATTTCACACTTTCGGCGAGCTGGCCTCCGATGACTTTTTTTCTGTCTTCTGGTTGGGCAGAGCAAAACCCGTCGACAAGCAAAAGACATCTGCGCACATTAATCATCAGAATCTCTGATGAGTGCGATGCATTTAATTGTCATTTGGATTTTCGCGTCGTTCGATAAATGTGGATCGTGAACTGCTCCGGGTAAACCACATCAGGAAACAGTTATGTGCTGTCAGATTACATTTTTTGTTGTTGTTGTGTGTTTTCTACAACTGCGACGTGATCGTGACGACATTCAGAAGTGGATGAAGTCCCAACTGAATGTCCGGGCACCAAATGCACAACCAGCCACCTGACGTTAAGGATACCCAGACGTCATTCTGCTGATGCCATAACTAAGCTATCATTATCCGCGATGGGTCAAATGTCAAGTGGTTGGATTTGCACGTTAAGAAAGCTCATGGGCTTTGTGATGCTTACGTCACGGTCATAAGCGCCCACTGGGATCCCCTTAACCTCTAAGCCACCGCTTGCTTTCTATTCCCCCGGGGGGTAAGAAAGCGGAAGCCGGATGACACTTTTGTAAGGGGGAGTTGTACCGTCACGTTCGCCGCACATCCCGGAGCATCTTTGGATTCTGACTTGCGGGGGTGAAATAATGGGAGACAAAGACACCGTCGAGAAGTTCCTGGACAACAACCCTCAGTTTGCCAAGGAGTACTACGACAAAAAGGTCAAGGCCGATGTCATCGCGGCAGCTTTCGACAACCAGGTGCAGGTCCAAGACCCGTCCTCGTACAGTGACGCCACCACCGTCCAGGAGGCCCAATTCGTGTTTGAGCTGGTCAAGGAATTGCAAGGCGTCGGCCCGCTGGAAAAAGCCCTGCACAAAGTTCTCCAGAGGATCGCGTTGTTGGTCCAGGCGGACCGCTGCAGCTACTTCGGCTATCGGGCGCGCAACGGGACGCCCGAGCTGTCCACGGTCCTCTTCGACGTCACGCATAACTCCCCGTTCGACAAGAATCTGGTCAACCCCAATGTGGAGATCGTCTTCCCCACGGACATGGGGATCGTCGGGTGGACGGCGCACTCCAAGAAGCCGCAGAATATCGCCGACGTGAAGAAGGTGAGCGTTACGGCCGATTGCGATCAATGCGGCGTTGACGCATCCCATCAAGTGTACGCGGTGTACTTCCAGGACTCTCATTTCAGCGACTTTGTGGACAAGCAGACCAAATACACCACCAAATGCATGATGACCGCCCCCATCTTGAGCGGAAAGGATCCCATCGGCGTCGTCATGGCGCTCAACAAGCAAGGCGCCGACGTCTTCTCAAAGAGTGACCAGGAGGTTAGTGTACAGAACTGAAGCGCCGGGGATGGGATGAGATTCAAAACAAAACAAGAGCTGCATTTAAACGTGTGTCTTTTCACCAGAGGTGGGTGTTAGCAAGTCTCAAGCCATACCCTTCAAGTTTTGAGATAAAGCAAAGATTCTGGCGGTCTGATAACTATGAGCAACCATATCGTGGTCTCATGTTACGAAAATGACAGCTGTAGAAATGATCCTTTTTTTGGAAACGTTTCTGTGGGTTCTGTACACAGATGTCAATATTTGCTCGTATCACGAGGCAAGAAAACGGGCCAAGTGACAGCTCATGTCAAGAAAAAATCACAAGTCAAGGTACTCATGTCTGAAGGTAACCCTGTACATCTTTGAAGATCATCGCAGAAAATGACAGGACTAGCTCGTACACAGTTGTGACGAGCAGCTGGCTAGCTAGCTAGCTAGCCATGCCCAACGTTGCGAAAATATTTCTTCCCCTTTCAGATCGTCTGCTGATGTGGCTACTTTCGTCGGCGGCGGCAGTGAGCGGCATTTAAAATCTGGCTCCGAATTTTATGTGTGTTCTGCTTAACCCTTTCACGCACCCTGTAACCTGATAACAAGATAAGATGTCCACTGTAGTAACCGCTGTACCCTAATCAGAAGTATGAAGAAATGTTTTCAAAAGTGTAGTTATTCTTGCCACTCCGTTTATTAAGTGTGAAACTAACAACGACGTAGGAAGACTCCAAGCCTCTCCCTAATGTTTACTCTCCTGGGCTTGCACAGGTGTAGCTAATGAAACGACTCACGTGTTAGCATTGCTTTTAGAAACGTAAATCCAGCATACTAATCTCGCTTTACGGATAGGAAAAAGGTCACCGCGGGTGCTTACCATCGCTGACCCATATGCCGTATTTTAAAGCCATCGTTTGTTTTGGAATCCACTTAGAGCGGAGGAGCTCAGACATTTTTTTTTCTCTCTCTGTGAGCCGTTGGCATTCTTTTTTTAAAAAGGACAAACCATCCATCCATCTGTTTTCTTTTGCGCTTGTGCTCATTAGGACGGACCGTTGACCAGCCGATCGAAGGGCACATACGATATAAACAAGCGAACATTCATAGAATATGAATATTAGTTAATTAATAAGTCACTTTTTTTTTTTTTTTTTTGAACAGCTCTTCAATAAATATGTCAACTTTGCATCGGTGGTCGCCCTCCAAGCCCACACTGCTTACATGTGGGATGTGGAGTCCAGGAGAAGTCAGGTATACAAACTTAAACGCCTTCACCACCAGTGAACAAAGCGTTACAAAGACATACAGTAAAAGACGTACACTCCCCTCAGGTGCTGCTGTGGTCGGCCAGCAAAGTTTTTGAGGAGCTGACGGACATCGAGAGGCAGTTTCACAAAGCCCTGTACACGGTCAGGACGTACATCAAGTGCGAGAGGTACTCGGTGGGGCTCCTGGACATGACCAAAGACAAAGTGAGGGAGATAGACATGAGAAGCGTTATTTTATTCAGAATTTTACTTTTTCCATTGTAAGGCTGTTTTTTTGTTTGTTTGTTTGTTTGTTTGTTTTTTTGCCTCCAGGAATTCTTTGATGAATGGGCCATCAAACTCGGGGAACAGGAGCCCTATAAGGGTCCCAAGACACCTGATGGCAGAGTAAGTTCATTCATCAAAATCGACAACTTCAACAATTGTACAGTGTCCCACCATTATATTGTGTTGTGTGTGTGTGTTTTAACTACTATTTCTGGGTTTTAATTTCGAAATATTGCCACCGGTCAACACTTGTAATTCAAAATGTCTTTGCGTTCCGTACAATCAGGAAATTAACTTCTACAAGATCATTGACTACTTGCTGGAAGACAAAGAGGAAATTAAAGTTATCCCGTAAGTACCGTGCACCGAAACTTCAACAAAAAAACAAACAAAGAATAATTAATAACCCAGCTCTCGTGAGGTATGCTAAATTCTCGCAAACTGAAGTTTCTGTGCGATTTTAGGGTCACAAAAATGTTGACTCGAGCCACTCTATGAAGCTCAGAAGTGACAGCGGCATCCTTTAAGTCATGGGAGAATTGATTTCAGTATTTTAAATTTAAAAGTGAATATTGACTTGGTTGAAATGATTTCCTGTTCGTATAATTTTGAGGTTGTAGCTAACAGCTCATGAAAAACCTCATATTCACCATCTGAAAAAGTGTGAACGTTACACAAGAAATTAAATATATAAATTTGGTAGAAATTGCCCTTGCAAAAATGATTTTGTGTTTCACGAATCTGTGAATGAGTTTTACATTTGGAAGTGTGCTACTGAAATAAATTCTGATTTATCGAGTAACATGGAAACAAAATTGCTGTGTGACTTGCCAGCGCGCCCCCTGTGGACCACTGGGCTCTGGTCAGCGGACTGCCAAGCTACGTGGCCGAAAATGGATTTGTAAGAGCCGCATTTTCACTTTACGATTTTTGGAGAGAACATTTTGAAAGACCTTTATTGATCAACTGGTTGATGTCATTCTAGATTTGCAACATGATGAATGCCGCGGGGGATGATTATTTTTCATTTCAGGTGAGACAATATTTCTTATTGGATTCCGGCAGGGATGAGCAAAACATTGTGGCCCACTTCGTTTTCTTTCTTTTTTTTTTTTTTATCTGGCCGACCGCGCATTTTCCTGAAACTAGTTACTGCAAATGTTTTTTTTATGTAGTTTATTAAATAATTGGTTAACTTATTTATTGTAAACAATCAGATTAGAAGATTTTCAATAAAACAAACAGTTGTGTATATATATACTGGATCCAATACGGGGGATTTTTTTGTTTAAATATTGATGGGAGAAAAAAAAAATCAGCAAATCTGCGTTTACCGAACCAGAGGTATGCAGGGGTCCACTGTTATTGTTTAACTGTATAAACAAAGCAAGGGAGGGAGATGTAGTATAAACATAAATATTAAAAAAATAAGATAAAACATCGTAAGTTAAAAATATGTTTGTGTACATTTTAATTTTTTATCAAACAATGTTTAATGATTTATATATACCGTATTTTCCGCACTATAAGGCGTTTCGCAGTATAAGCTTTCACAACAGCTGCAACTGTAACAAGGTGCTTTACAGGAACATGTAAAATACTACATCCAAGAAATCAGAATATTGATCCATATAAGGAGCATCATATTATCAGGTGCGGTGTCGGTTTATGAGAAAATTTTATGCTTTTAGGTGCGCCTTATAGTGTGGAAAATACGGTACATGACATATAATTTATACATACATTTCACCTTGTTGGGTAAAGTAATTGGCTAATTAATTATTTGGTGATAAAGAGCATTAAAATATTGCATTAGCTATTTAATCACTCCAATAAGATACTTATACACTATATTACCCGGTTTAAAAAAAAATCAAACGTGTCTCTTAAGCACCGAAGTTTGCTCAGCCCTGGACGGAAGTGTCTGACAACAGCCAAGTCACACCTGTGCATTTAATCTGACAGAAAGACGCGGTTGACGAGAGCGGCTGGAAGATCACAAACGTTCTCTCCCTCCCCATCGTCAACAAAAAGGAAGAGATCGTCGGCGTCGCGACCTTCTTCAACAGGAGAGACGGAAAACCCTTTGACGAGAACGACGAACAAATAACAGAAGTTCGCCCAAATGCTGAAAGTGCTTGAAAAGCAATTCGTGTTCATTGAATAAGCGTGTCACTGCGTCCGTTTATAGGCCCTGACTCAATTCCTGGGCTGGTCCACTCTGAACAGCGACACGTATGACAAACTGAACCGGACTGAGTGGAGTAAGGACGTGGCACAGGAAATGCTCATGTACCAAACCAAGGCCACGCCAAATGACGTGCAGACCATCTTGGTGAGACTCCACCCTCAGTTCTACTCCTCTTAGCAGAGCAGTATTGTAAAACGTTCTCAACCTCCATAGAACACTCAAGAAAAGTTTGGTTCTACACCGGAAGACTGTGACCAGAAGGAGATGTACAAACTACTGGTGGGCACCCAAACGTGTCAATTATTTTAAGATCGCCGCAGTGTTGCCGATTGATCAAATTTTGTCGTACGCATCCAGAGAGCCAACATTCCCGAATCCAAGACGGTGGATCTGCACGAGTTCAGCTTCAGTGACTTTCCGCTGTCTGAGTTCGAGCTCATTAAATGCGGCATCCGCTGCTTCTTCGAGCTGGGGGTGGTCGAGAAGTTCAAAGTCCCCGCGGAGGTAACGGTTATTTCTCACTCCTAGTTGACTGTAAAAAAAATACTTCTAAGACAAAAGAGAACTAAACATTATATAATTTCAACATCAAAAAGTTGAAGCTTCATGCTAACAAAGAATGTGGAACATCATAGACAAGCTAATAGAAATTAACATCACTGTTAAAGTACCGTATTTTCTGCACTATAAGGCGCACCTAAAAGCATTCAATTTTCTCAAAAGCCGACAGTGCGCCTTATAATCCGATGCGCCTTATATATGGATCAATATTTTGATTTCTTGGACGTAGAATTTTAAATTATTCTGTAAAGCACTTTGTTACAGCAGTTGTGAACGCTCTATATAAATAAAGCTGTATTGTATTGTATTGTATTCCCTTTAGCCTAGCTCCATCTAGTGGATGCATCATGCACCATCAGCCACTACTATAACTTCTATTCTATGCGTCTTATAATGCGGAGCGCCTTATAGTGTGTAAAATACGGTAATTATAAACCTTCCAACAACTTTAATACACACAGAGCAGCAACTCATACAAACGGAAGATACGACAATATTGGACTTTGGTTTTGAAAATATGATCTAACTTCCTCGAAAGGCTTTGTATGTTGGAAATGTTCATAAGTAGTATTAAAATCCGCGATAGCAGAATGGCTTCTGGAAATGAATTGAATGCCTCTTCAATAGAAGTCAGGCAATTTACCTTTACTTCTTTGCACAGACCCTGACGCGCTGGATGTACACCGTTCGCAGGGGTTACCGTGACATCACCTACCACAACTGGAGGCACGGATTCAACGTGGGACAAACCATGTTCACCCTCCTACTTGTGAGTGCCACTCGAGTCTTTAACCCCCCCCCCCCACACCCAGACCCCGCCCACTGATTGCTTTGTGAAGTTTGGTAAAAAAAAAAAAACAAAATGGGCTTGGTTTCTCCCAAAACAGACGGGCAAGCTGAAGAAGTACTACTCAGATCTCGAGACCTTTGCCATGGTGGCGTCTGGATTCTGCCACGACATCGACCACAGGGGGACCAACAACCTCTACCAGACAAAGTAAGGAGACAGGAAGGGATTGAATTCGACCGGGTACATCAGTGAAAAAAAAATCAAGCTCGGTCACGGGACAAATTGAATCAAACATCACTGTAAATGGAATTCCTGCTGATGGTGTCCTCCCGTAGGAGCGCATCACCTCTGGCTAAACTTCACAGCAGCTCCGTCATGGAGCGACATCACCTGGAGTACAGCAAAACGCTCATGGAGGATGAGGTTGGCCCTCGACAATCAATGATTTTTTGGGAGGGGGGGGGCGCAAAACCGATTGCAATCTCATCACATTCTGCCGTTCCAGAACTTGAATATCTTCCAAAACCTGCAAAAGCGCCAGTTTGAGACCGTGCAGCATCTGTTTGAAGTTTGCATCATCGCGACTGACCTCGCCCTTTATTTCAAGTACGTTCACATCTGTTGGAAGCCGTTTTGCTTTTTCTGGGCTTTCTGGAAATGACCGATTTGTTTTCTTCGCTCCCAGGAAGAGAACGATGTTCCAGAAGATCGTGGATTCGATGGAGGCTATTCCAGACGAGAAAGATAAAATCAGCTACGTTTCCAACAACCCCACCAGGAAGGAGATCATCATGTAAACTCCGAATGGATCACAAAAAAATAACAATGGTTTCTTTCTTCTCATGTAACTGATATGAAGAGATGATATCATTTTGTTGTTGTTTTGTTTTTCCTGCAGGGCAATGATGATGACAGCATGTGATCTGTCGGCCATTACGAAGCCGTGGGAGGTTCAGAGCAAGGTGAGATTTTTGCCGCTCCCGGTAGCATGAACCTTTCTCCAAAAAAAATCTGCTAAATTGAAAAAAAAAAAAATAATTTTCAGGTGGCTTTGATGGTGGCAGCAGAATTCTGGGAGCAGGGCGACTTGGAGAGGACGGTCCTTGAGCAGCAGCCTATTGTAAGCGCTCGGTGTGCTTTTCCTAATTGAAATCGTCTTTAGTTCCCACTTCCTTTGCCAGTTGTAGATTTGAAATCAGACTGCTTTGCTGCAGCTGTTGTAGAATCCCGGTCTTGTCTTTTTCGCCCGTTGTTTTGCCAACAATGACTACAAAGCATGCCGACATGGTTTGGGTGCTAAATTTCTCAACCTTTCTCGTGTTTTATTTAGCCAATGATGGATCGAAATCACGCTGACCAGCTACCCAAGATGCAGTGTGGCTTCATCGATTTTGTCTGCTCTTTTGTGTACAAGGTAACATGTTTGGAGAAACTTTATTTTTTTCAACCAATATACTCTCTCTCGTCTCATCGGGGCACGATGGACAAAAACATTGAGACACAATACGACGTCACGCTGACATTTTTCCAATTTAGCGAACGACAAAGACCTCCTTTTCCCCTCCCTTCCTCCCGCCCGTGTTTGTGCTCGGTTGTTTTTGCAGGAGTTTTCACGCTTCCACACGGAAATCTCCCCCATGTTCGCCGGTCTGAACAACAACCGGGGGGAGTGGAAAGCGCTCGCCGACGTCCACGAGGCCAAGATGAAGGCCATTGAAGACGAGAAGAAAAAATTGGAAGGTGGAGAGCAGGCTGACGCGGCGGGCGGCAAGTCCAAAACGTGCGTCATCTGCTAAAAACCGTTGTGGGATTATTTTGAGCATGTACATGCGAAACGTTAAATACCTTAAAATACCCCAAAATCTGAGCGCGCGCACACACTGGTACCTTGTCTCGAGTTGCAAACTGTCGCCTGGTTGATTTCTATCTTGTTTTATGTGTTACGAGTGAGCTTTCGATACGGGACTGACTGTAAAATACAAAATGAGAACACGTGTAATGAGCTGCTGTAGCCCACTACACACACCTGGACACTCACGGGCAGATTAAGCCACCCCAGAAGAGCAAATGATGTCACTCATTAGGCCACACCTCTGCGAGGCACACATCCAACACATCAATACCGCACAAGTACAAATATGACGCTTGATATGGATGCCGATTTGATATATGACGAAATGAATTTATGAGCTTGATTATAGAAAGAATTAAAGTCACACGTCAAGGTTCCACTGGACTGTGATGCCAATTTTAGGATTAGCGTTGCGTGTACGGATTATCTTAATATCTTAACGATGATTTCAGTATTAAACTATTATGTGTTGCCACGCCAAATATGACTAGAAATACATGAATAAAATGAGATTATGTTAGTGCTATTGCATTTCACGGCCCCCCGCCCCAAAAAAAAAAACAAACACACTCTTGTATACGTCATGTTGCTTTTAAAAAGATCTTCTGTGATAAGGTGACGAGCAACATAAGGAGATTTGACTCTATTGGATTTGCTTATCAAACCAGTGGAGTCCCTGGGATTATTTTTTTTTTTAAGTTGCCCCCTGCTTACTACATAACGTAAAAATACTGACGTCCTGCTTAGAATTCTGCGGCAACCAGCGAGACCGAGAACACACACAGGACAAGAAAAGTGATTTGATCCTGACTCATATGAAAGTAGCGGTATTATTTTATGCACAATAGCCTAGCTACAGTATCAAATATGTCAATAAAGTCTATTTTTGAAAATGATGCCTGTGTTGTATTTATGTCATGACATACAGGTATACGAGCGTAATACAGCAAGAGAAAATCCGCAATGTACAGGGACCGTGTCATTCTTTCCATCCACATTGACATATTTTTTTTACCCCTTCCTACACTGTTTAAACATGTTAAAACACACAAAAATAATTTTTTTAAAAGGCACACCATATCATAAGTGTAATTCAATTTGCATTAAAGCACTTTTTTTGAACAAAACATCCAATCAAAGTGCCAATTATCAAATGGAGTTGTCTTCCATTTAATTATCGAAAAAATTCATAATGTCTTCCTTTTTTTTTTTTTTTTTTGGAGAAAAGCAAAATAAATGTCATATTAACGCATGGAGGCCGGAGCTGGGATCGAACCCACGACCTCTGCACTGTGAGGTCGACGCGCTAACCACTGGACCACCTTTTTAAATTTTTTTTTTTTTTTTTTGTCATGAGACTATATTTTTCTGTTGATAGCCATCTTCCACCATGAACAACAGTGGGACATCGGCGGTTCGTGGACAGTGTCTTCTATTGTCTTATTTCCGTTGCACCGTCTTGACGCGCCTTCTCATCATACCACAATCATGTCCAGTGTTCTTGGTGGAGCTCATGAAACACGCCGATTGTCCATGACGCTTGGTCACCATCTGGGAATAGTCTCTCTCTCTCTCTCCCTGGCTCACTCTCCTCCAACATGCATGCTCACAGATTTATTGGCCTCGTCCCTCGGCCTAAAGCATCCCCCCTAAGTGCTCGTAAAAAGGAAGCCCTCGACTAACCCTGGCTAAATTGACATTATGATGATAAACAAACACAGGATATGAAATGCTGTAATCTCATTAAGGGAGGCTCGGAAAGCGGCTTGCGCATTGCCTCGGATAGGAGACGGCCCACGGGGGTTTTATTTACTCAACTGCAGATGGGGGAGGCGTCAATTACGGGGGCTCGTTTTGAATCCAGCCATCCTTTTTCTCGAGCACTGATGCTCGTTAATTTCGGTTGGCGTTCCAGGAAGACTAGACTGATGACGGATTCGTGATTTCTATTGTATGAAGAGAACACTTTTGCAATTCTATATTTTATTTTGTATAAAGTATGTCTATATGTTAAATACCCTTCATTGGCGCGAAACTCTCATTTGGGACTTGACTGGACACTTTAAAAACCCAGAAAAGAAATCACTATGAACGACGGCTATTCCTCAATGAGTGTACCTAATATTTTGACCACAAACATTTATTTCGCAGTGTCCTGGTGGATGATATCAAACCTGTTCTTTGTTTGAGTGCTGAGGGGCGGATAGGCTGCACTGAGACACACCAGCTGTCACTATGAAAGGGGTGGGGGGTCGGGGGGGGCATCCCCACACCCCCGTTAACACGGGACTGCCACATCGAGTCCATTAGTTGTCATGGAAACCATGCATGGAAAATTCAAGCAGAAAATATGTTCAACATGGATTAGGACGTGCACTTTCAAATTGCTATCGGGCATGACCAAGTTAGTCCAGATGATTGGATCAATGCGGCAGTGGATGCTGATATCGAACACGATCAACAAAACGAATCGGCGGATCGATCCACCCACCAGTGGATATGACATGCATTTTCTCCAGCTGATTCACCACAGAACTCACACCTCCTTCTCATCTTCCTCTTGCTTCCCCGCCCCCCCCCTCCCCAAAACCATAAGGCGTGGTTTTTACTCGGATGGAGGAGATGCGAGCTCCGTCTGCTCCCGCTGGGTTCTCCCACCTGCGCCCGCGTACATTGCGCTCTCTCTCGTGAGTGCGTGGCATTATTTGACTTTTTTTTTTTCGGTGGGGGAGGGAGTGTTGTTCGGTCTTCAACACGGAGGAGAGGCTCGTCTCGCGGATACAACAAGCGGCTGCGGCGGCAGAGGAGGAGGAGGAGGAGGAGAGCGGTTGATGCGCGGAGGACGCCCCGGCAGGAGGATGGCTCCCGCACCGCGCCGATCATCCCCGTGGCTCGTCGTGCTCGCGCTCGCGCTAACGTGCGCGGGGCCGCCGCCGGCCGACTGCAGGCGGGCCAGGCAGCCGCGGTGCCCCGCGTCCTGCACATGCACCAAAGACAACGCGCTGTGCGAGAGCGCCGGCCTCATCCCCAGAGCCTTCCCGCCCGATGTTATCTCACTGTAAGGCAGCCTTCCGGTCCTCATTCCGAAGCCTCCCTTCTTCCTCCTCTCGTTCATTACAATGTTTTGGTTTCGTTCCCTCGCTCAGGTCTTTCGTCAAATCGGAATTCACGGAGATCCCCACGGAGAGTTTCATCCACATGCCCGCCCTGCACCTCCTGTAAGCAAACTCTTGCAATTCTCCCCCCCTCCCTATACGGTAATGTCTTCTTATTTCGTTGCAAATTAAACGCCATGTTGCGATATCGCTGACAAGTCTTGACAGCAGTGCCCTGAGACAATCCGAAAAATTGATCCTTGACCAGGTTTTTAACTGGAAAAAATAGATACTCCACGTAAATCGTCTTTCCTCATTGAAATGAATGTAAATTGCCCCACTCCAACACCCCCCACCCCCTCTGAAAAATACACAAATAAATTTGTAAAAGTGTCTTCTAATAAGGAAATTGGAGTGTTCGTCACCATAGCGAGTTGTAACATCATTGCATATCATGTAAGCTATTTTGTGCATCATGATTTCATGCTTCAGTTCATTGCGGTGCTCCTTCGAGTTTGCCCGCCTTGGCCAAAATACAAAATTAATCGTTTTTCACAGAGCAGTAAGTTGCCATATCGTGTACGTCTTTTTCCGTTGTGTGTTTAAAAATCCATTGCTTAAAGGCATATTACATCACAAAAATCGATGCTAATAATTAGCCCATCACTGGCATTTTTTTATTTGTTAGCATTAAGCTAGCATTAAGCTTCCATTTTTTTTCTTTTAATAAGAATACATTGTATGTGCTACGACTAGTCTAAACACGTATCATAATCGTTACAGCTGTCGAACTAAATTACTACTACTAGAACAGCTGAACTTTATTTGGGGTTGAATTGAGGCAGGTTTATGCTAACTCCAATTTAACATGAATTTGAACGTGACTGGCTGCTGCCATTGACGGTATGAGATATCAAACATCCACGCAGGGCTGGGGGTGAATGAGTTCTAATTCCGAACACAGCCTCGTCCCTGGTTCCGAGAGGGTGTGCACAATTGCGCAACCACGTTTTCATTTTATTTTTAATTCACCTCTTGAAAATATTTTTAAAAATTCAATCAAGTTGTGCAAGTTATCGGTCGTGTTAATGTTTCATTTTTTTTTGGGGGGGGGGGTATCTTGAGCTCATATTTTCTTTCCATTGTAACATTTATCATTTTAAAAATAGCCAAATGCAGATTTTTTTAACCATGTCTGTGCAGCCTCTTCACCACCAATAACCTGGAGTCTATAGACGAGGACGCTTTCCTCGGTCTTCCTCATCTGGAATATCTGTGAGTGGACAGCAGACAAATAGACGTGCGCGGGGCCGCCGCCGGCCGACTGCAGGCGGGCCAGGCAGCCGCGGTGCCCCGCGTCCTGCACATGCACCAAAGACAACGCGCTGTGCGAGAGCGCCGGCCTCATCCCCAGAGCCTTCCCGCCCGATGTTATCTCACTGTAAGGCAGCCTTCCGGTCCTCATTCCGAAGCCTCCCTTCTTCCTCCTCTCGTTCATTACAATGTTTTGGTTTCGTTCCCTCGCTCAGGTCTTTCGTCAAATCGGAATTCACGGAGATCCCCACGGAGAGTTTCATCCACATGCCCGCCCTGCACCTCCTGTAAGCAAACTCTTGCAATTCTCCCCCCCTCCCTATACGGTAATGTCTTCTTATTTCGTTGCAAATTAAACGCCATGTTGCGATATCGCTGACAAGTCTTGACAGCAGTGCCCTGAGACAATCCGAAAAATTGATCCTTGACCAGGTTTTTAACTGGAAAAAATAGATACTCCACGTAAATCGTCTTTCCTCATTGAAATGAATGTAAATTGCCCCACTCCAACACCCCCCACCCCCTCTGAAAAATACACAAATAAATTTGTAAAAGTGTCTTCTAATAAGGAAATTGGAGTGTTCGTCACCATAGCGAGTTGTAACATCATTGCATATCATGTAAGCTATTTTGTGCATCATGATTTCATGCTTCAGTTCATTGCGGTGCTCCTTCGAGTTTGCCCGCCTTGGCCAAAATACAAAATTAATCGTTTTTCACAGAGCAGTAAGTTGCCATATCGTGTACGTCTTTTTCCGTTGTGTGTTTAAAAATCCATTGCTTAAAGGCATATTACATCACAAAAATCGATGCTAATAATTAGCCCATCACTGGCATTTTTTTATTTGTTAGCATTAAGCTAGCATTAAGCTTCCATTTTTTTTCTTTTAATAAGAATACATTGTATGTGCTACGACTAGTCTAAACACGTATCATAATCGTTACAGCTGTCGAACTAAATTACTACTACTAGAACAGCTGAACTTTATTTGGGGTTGAATTGAGGCAGGTTTATGCTAACTCCAATTTAACATGAATTTGAACGTGACTGGCTGCTGCCATTGACGGTATGAGATATCAAACATCCACGCAGGGCTGGGGGTGAATGAGTTCTAATTCCGAACACAGCCTCGTCCCTGGTTCCGAGAGGGTGTGCACAATTGCGCAACCACGTTTTCATTTTATTTTTAATTCACCTCTTGAAAATATTTTTAAAAATTCAATCAAGTTGTGCAAGTTATCGGTCGTGTTAATGTTTCATTTTTTTTTGGGGGGGGGGGTATCTTGAGCTCATATTTTCTTTCCATTGTAACATTTATCATTTTAAAAATAGCCAAATGCAGATTTTTTTAACCATGTCTGTGCAGCCTCTTCACCACCAATAACCTGGAGTCTATAGACGAGGACGCTTTCCTCGGTCTTCCTCATCTGGAATATCTGTGAGTGGACAGCAGACAAATAGAAGCTCTGACGAATGTGTCTGAGCATTTAGCATGTTGTCATTACTCATGATTTCACCGAATGACATCTATTTCTCTCCACTGCCCACCCCCAAAAGGTTCATCGAAAACAACCAGATCAATTCCATATCACCATACGCATTCCGAGGACTGAAAACCTTGGTGCATCTGTGAGTATGACGCCCTCCGAAATACATTAGCACATGTTCTATATACGAATTACAACCCAGAGCAGTTTTGGGGAAGAATTAATTGCGCTTTAAATACGTTTCCGGCCAGTCACATACACTATGACGGATGAACAGCGCGCCAGAAATAGACTGGTGCCCTGACAATGTCTACATTATTACTTCTTTGCTACACGGCTAAGACCGCGCTGATGTGCATTTTACTCGCCGTATATTCATATATATATTTTTTTCACAATCAAGTTCTCATGGCTTGTTGTAACCAAAACAGCAGCATTGAATCGTGTAAGCCGTTTCTTGGAATGAATTTCAGCGTCGGGTCTTACCGCACGTTGTCAACGAGATGATCTTGAGTTACGTAGCGAACGTTTTTAAGCGTTCCACTCAATGTGGGCACTTGGCAATGTCGTGATGAAACGTATTTGTTGTGCTGACATGACTTGAAATTGTTGGCCAGTAATAAACTAGTAATAAACTCGTAACACTCATTATTGTAAGTAACACTGTATTTCCTTCGAAAACAAGATAGCTGCATTGTTCCTGCGCAAAGTGTGTGTACCCTCAGGCAAGGAACGAAAGGCTAAAAAAAAAAAAAAAAAAAAAACCATCTGCTCTGAGGTGTTGTTCCTCCTATTGCACAATATCGTGTGTTTATCGTTAGCATAAAACAAGGAGAAGAGAAGCGTTGGTGCTCTTGGACTTAGTGACGTTTTTGTTTTTTTTTTGTCCCGACAGGAGTCTGTCTAACAATAATCTTGAGACTATTCCCAAGGACTTGTTCAAGGGCCTGGAAGCCTTGACAAAAGTGTAAGTAACACTTTTTTTTTTTAACACTTGCAAGTCTGAAGAATTGCATAATGCGTTTCATAATGAGCCAAACTACGCAAACATGAACAATGAGTTTCTTGTACAGGGGCCTCTATATTTAGTTGACACCATCATTATGCCTCTCCGGCCGGGAAAAAAAAAAAGTGTGTAGGGGGGCTGTTGGCACATTTCACACCATTAAAATTGCACGAGGGCGAGAATTTTGGAATTAATGAGACTCTGAACAGTCTCCTCTCCAGTCGCTCTCGGTTTTAATGAGAATACAGGAGAAGGGTGAACGTGATTTATTTTAGGACGTTTTTTTTCTTTTCTTCGGGATATGAAAATACATTTCCTAGGGCTTCACTGTCGAACTGTCTGGAAGCGTCGCAGGGATCATGTTTCCACACAGATGTCATTTTATGGCCTGGCTAACCTGAGCTAACGACACACTGTCTCGCTGACACCCACGTCACTCACCAGCCTTTAAAGTCAGAGATACAACAGAACATTTATGGTCCAAACCTGAATTATCGGTAGAACGTTTGATCCTCAAAACATTCACTGGTCTTAACTTTAAATGTGAAAAGGTGTGACGAGCGCTACGCCGAGAACGAAATGTCGACTTGTGAACCCTAACCGCCTGTTTTCTAGAGACCTGCGAGGGAACCGGTTCACGTGCGACTGCAAGCTCAAGTGGTTGGTGGAGTGGATCTACAGCACCAACGCCACGGTGGATCAGATCTCCTGCAAAGAGCCGTCGGCTTCGCAGGACAAGAGGATCAACGACCTGCTGCCGCAGTCCTTCGACTGCATCACCACAGGTGCTGCCCGGCCACCATTTTGAAACGTCTGTTCGGGAGTAGTGACGGTTCTTGGTGTCATGTAGTTTGATAGAACGTTACTCAGTCATTGTTTTTCTCTCTCTCTCTCACAGAGTTTGCGTTTCTCTCTCTCTCTCTCTCTCTCTCTCTCTCTCTCTCTCTCTCTCTCTCTCTCTCACAGAGTTTGCTTCGTACCAGTCCCTCAAGTTTGAGTCGATATCTGTGGAGACCTTTACCTTCGGCGAAGACCAGTATGTCGTCTTTGCTCAGCCCTTCATTGGCAAGTGCAGCTTCATGGAGTGGGATCACGTGGAGATGGTCTTCAGGAATTTCGATGATATTGACAGTGAGTACCAAAAGAAATGGTCGCCGGTTGTTTGCAAGGGCCGTCCTCCTCCTGTCGATGAACGACGCGAAGGAAATATTCCAAGTTTCCGTCTGCTCTGGTGAATCGCAGATTCAAACGGGAAGTAACGTCATCGGATAAAATTGCGCCAAGATGATGTCAGCCTCGTTTACTCAGTCCACTTATGTCATCGACATGGATCATGATCAATGAGGGGGCAAATCAATTCCGAATGTGCAGCAAGGAACATTTGGTTCTGGATTTCGTGGAGGTTCAATGAGAAGGATTTGTCCCAGCTGAAGGCAGCTCTTGAGATTTATCAAATGACTCGTTCTCTCTCGCCGAGTTGGACAGATCCAAGGCCGAGGGTGCTCGATTCAAACTGCGCCGTTCCCGGGTGAAGTTGACAAATGAAACTCCTCTCCGTCTCCCCTCCGCAGGCACTTCGACGGTGATCTGCAAACCCCTGGTGATCGACAAGCAGCTCTTCATCATCGTGGCCCAGCTGTTCGGCGGCTCGCACATCTACAAGCGCGACACCTCGGCCAACAAGTTCATCAAACTCCAAGGCATCGACATCCTCAAGATCCGCAAGCCCAACGACGTGGAGACGTTCCGCATCGACGGCGAGTCCTTCTTCGCCGTCGCCGACAGCTCCAAGGCGGGCTCCACCACCATTTACAAGTGGAACGGCAACGGCTTTTACTCGCACCAGTCGCTCCACCCGTGGTACCGCGACACCGACGTGGAATACGTGGAGATCTCGGCCAAGCCTCACCTCATCCTGTCGAGCAGTTCCCAGAGGCCCGTCATCTACCAGTGGAACAAAGGCACCAAGCTCTTCGAGCGGCGCACCGACATCCCCGAGATGGAGGACGTCTACGCCGTCAAGCATTTCCGGGTCAAGGCGGACCTCTACCTCTGCCTGACGCGCTTCATCGGCGACTCCAAGGTGATGCGCTGGGACGGCGCCCTCTTTCGGGAACTGCAGATGGTGCCGTCGCGCGGCGCCATGGCGTTCCAGCCCTTCGCCGTGGGCAGCTGGCAGTACGCCATCCTGGGCAGCGACTACTCCTTCACTCAGGTGTACCGCTGGGATGCCAAGAAAGGCCAGTTCGTCCACTTCCAGGAGCTCAACATCCAAGCGCCGAGGGCCTTCTCGCCCATCTCCATCGACAACCGCCAGTTCCTGCTGGCCTCCAGTTTCAAAGGCAAAACGCAAATTTACGAGCATCTGGTCATCGACCTGAGCAACTGAGCGCGACGAGGACGGACGGGTACACGAGATGACCGCTGATGCTATCTTGAGAAAGGCGTGCATTATTATACGAGGTGTTCTCCTTTCAAAGTGGGCAAAGGTATCGGGACACGTTGGTCGATCGTGCTCCTTTTTCAAAAATCAGCCCAGCAGAAAAAATATTTCCCCCCCCCCCGCCAAATTTGTATTTATTTTTTTTACAGTTGTTTTTCTTGGAGTTTCCCTTTTCCCCAAAGTGTCCCAATACTTTTTTTCCCCACACATTTATATTTTAGAGGAATGCATTATTATATTATGTGTTCTTCTTTCAAAGTGGGCAAAAGCATTGGGACATGTTGGTCAGGAGAAAAAAAAACTTTGATTCAGACATGCTAAAATCAGCCCCCTTGAAAAAAAATATTCACTTCCCCCCCCAAAATTTTTTTTTTATTTTTTTTACAGTTTTTCTTGGAGTTTTCCTTTTCCCAGCGTGTCCCAATACTTTCCCCCCCCCACACATTTCTATTTTACAAGAATCCAGGTGAGGCTCAATGCATGCATCTCAAGCTAGAATCAGACTTCCTGCATGATCAGGCCATCCATGCGTCATCGTCCACAAATCCAGAATGTACATTAGAAAATGACTTCTACCATCAGCCATACACGCATTACATTTGGACGCGCCCATGTATTTATCAGCACAACGTAATGCTCATGTGGAACTTTTGAACCAATCTGCCAAAAAAATAAATAAAATAAAATGTTAAGAATAATAAAATAAAATGTTTACATTTTTTCAGATTCAAATTTGTAAAAAAAAAAGAAAAAAAAAGAAGCTTTTGTCAGGGGCAACAGCAGTTACGATTGATATTTCAAGAGACCTGCCTTCCTCTCCTTGTACATTTGAATCATGAATGTTTGCATTTCTAAATGATTGACGAGACCGACGATAAGCACTCATCTCGACGCGATTTTCAATTTCACTTTTGTCTGTCATGTATAAAAACTGGGAATGTAACTAACAACCTTTTATTCCCCCCAACCACCTCCAATCTTTTTTTTTTTCTCAACAATCAATTCGTTGCCTGGTCTACTCGCAATGAATCTTTCAATTGTAGCAGCCGCGTCGACGGTGACACGTGAGGATGACATCATCATTGACTAACATTGTGATATTCCAATAAAAGCTTCAATCACCGACTCGTCTCACTGACTAGCTTTGCGGCATGACCCACAATTGGGCTCCGTCGAACCCCTGAGACCTACTCACCGAACCCCTGTGGTTCGATCGAACCCAGGTTAAGGATCACTGCTGTAATTATGATGTCAGCGTAAGTTCGAAGTTGACTAATTTGCGCCTGAGTCGAACGGCACCGTAACCTGAGGACCCCTACAGCGCTTTAGCTGCACCGAACACATAAATCCAAACGTGTCCAACCCAGTAAAGCATGTTGACCTTTTTTGACGAGAATAAACAAAGCATTATGTCCAAAAGGCTTGTCAGTGGAGTCCACCCTTGAGAGGTTTACGCAGGCTTAGGAACGCAGACCACTACCCAAAATCCTTGTGTAGCCACACCTGTAGACCAGAGTATAAAGAGGCCAGGTTGACTCAGACACAACATCAATCGCCAACGAGTATCTCCACTGAAACTTGAAGATGAGTCGCTTCGCCAGCCTGCTGATGCTCCTCCTGCTTGGTCTCACTCAGGCTTACCAGGACGAATTCGTCCCAGAGCAAGAGGAGGAAGACCAAATTGACATCTCCGACAAAATCCTGACCGCCAACAGGGGCTCAGACGAGGTCCTCGTGGAAGGAGATATGATGGTTCCCAAAACCCGGAATGCCATTAAGTGCTGGTCCCAGAGCTGCGTGTGGAAGAAAGCCGCCAACGGCTATGTGACCGTCCCGTACGTCGTGAGCCGTGAATTCCCCGAATGGGAGAAGCAAATGATCGAGACGGCCATGAGGTCCTTCCAAGAGAGCACCTGCATCCGCTTCGTGCCCCGGAGCGACGAGTTCGACTACGTCAGCGTGGAGAACAAAATCGGTTGCTACTCGGCTCTGGGAAGGCAGGGCGGCAAGCAGGTGGTGTCCATCAACCGCGGCAGCTGCCTCTACAACGGCATCATTCAGCACGAGCTCAACCATGTTCTGGGCTTCCAACACGAGCAGAACAGGAGCGACCGCGATCGCCACGTCAGGATCAACTGGGAGAACATCAAACCGGCAGCGGCCTTGAACTTCAAAAAGCAGGACACCAACAACCTGAACACCCCGTACGACTACACCTCCATCATGCACTACGGAAGAACGGCCTTCAGCAGCAACGGGAAGGACACCATCACCCCCATCCCCGACGCCAGCGTCCGGATTGGCCACAGACCGGGCATGTCCAAATGGGACATCACGAGGATCAACATGCTGTACAGCTGTTAAAACAGCATTTGTGATCTCTTGAGTGGTCTCACAATAAAGTCAATGCATCGTCACCGCTTTTTGTCTCTTTATGTGCCACAAAAGTCTAGCAATGAAGAAAATATATTTTAAAAAATGGAGTTGGTTTGAGTCAGGGGCATCATACATTTCTACAACTGTACTTTGTTTAATTTTACTTAAAATGTTGAATTAGTGCTTCTACTTTTAACAGTCCCTTCATTAAACAGTAGTTGGACATCTACTTAAGTTCAGAAAATACTTTTAATAGTACCTTTGTAGTAAAAAAAAAAATATTTGGACATTTTTGGAAAATTACAACCAGTAAATCACTCACAAGAACATTTAGAATTCATAACACACAGTCAGTCATACATAACAAGAAATATGTAAATACAACAAATATGCTTTGTCTTGATTACTTTATTTCTATTTGGTGTTTGTGTTCAAACTAAACAACCAAACCAATTCCTGGAGAGATCGTCATCGGCGTTTAAGGTAATGCAATAAAAATGCCTTGATACATTAAACTATTTGACAAATAAATACTGTAATGTCAATCATAAAAAGTGTGGGCGTACAGAGAAGAAAATAATTATCATATTGTCTCCATAAAAACTGTATTTTTTAGGGGCTGGAGGGGAAGAAACATTTTAACTTACCTTCCAGTCATTTGACTCGACGGAGGGGCGGGGAGAGGGTCACTGACGTTTTTTTCTCAATAAGCTTCATTTGCTTTTTTGTTTGTTGGTGATTTCTTCTCTGTACGGCCGGAAACAAAACGTCCCCTGTGGACCACTGCTCCAAGTCATTCATCACATTAATTAAAAAAAAAAAAAAAAAAAGACAGAATAGAAGAGTTGGGGATGTAGATGACATGTCGTCCAACAACTGTTTGAGGATGTTCGCCTTTTTCTTCTGTAACTTTGAGTAATGAGGACGCACCGTGGCACCATGCTGCCTATCACAGGGCAGTGCTGGTACTGCAAACAAACTCCACATAAAACCAAGGTGATTTTTTTTTTAAATACAGGAGTTTAAATAAAAGAAAATAAATAAATGTATCTCCTTATATAATAATAATCATACATTTCATTTATAAGCGCCTTTCAAAACACTCAAGGACACTTTACAATCAAAACAAGAACAATAAAACCACAGATAAAATTATAAATAATAAAAGGAGAGATGAATTTAAACTGAATTTAGCGACTGTAAATAGTTGACCCAAGCTTTAGGAATCAATAGTTTCGTCTAATCGACGTTTTGAACACCATTCACAAAGGTGCCTTTGAATCTCCCATTGCAATGTTTTTGGTATCATTTTTGAAAATCTATAATCTTTTGATAGTTCATAATGTGTTAAAAGTGGTTTATACAGTAACGTGACAAAAGCAGACCTTTGAGTAAAATTAATCGTAATTATCAGATGATCTATTTCGGAATAGAGTGCAGGTCACGACGGACATGATTTGTCTGTTGAACGTTTTGCTCTGACGAACCAGAGGATGGAAAAAATGTGACATCATTGAGGGACAACTCTCTGGCCCCCGTCCAGACGAATTTAAAATCTGACTAGTTCAAGAAAAAGTCCAATTGTTTATATTTTAAGTTACATGGGCCAGTACTACTATTGGACATAAATAAATAAGTAAAATAAAATAAAATATAAACAGCCACTTACGCACAGCCAACAGAAACACTACGAAATGAAGACAGACTGTTAGGAATAAATTAATACAATTTACAATTTAGAGTGTAAGTGTAGGTCCGTGCTTCTGATCGTGTTTACGCACACAACTGTTTAAAACTAATTTGGTGTATCGTCTTCTTGGTCTGTCAGCAATCAATTGACAGGAATACAAACAAATAAAATCCTTTTTATTTTTCTCCAACAAAGTGCACACCTCATTTCTACAAAGCAGCACATTACAATGTAATGGAATAAATACAATAAAATTTGCTGAATTACCAAAAATACGGGTAACCGCCCCCCCAAAAAAAAATCAGAAGGAGAAATACAAGTATCACATTGGTGGAGATGCAGGACCAAATGAGGTTGTCGAGACAAACGTTTCTTCTTTTTAACTTCTCATGCTTCTTGGCGAACCGATTCAAATGGCTGCTTTTAATGGAACTGAAGTTCAGCAAATTTTGTTGGGAGAGGGAAGGAAACAACAGGTGCATACTGTCATAGTGAGAAAACTTGTGCAAAGTGCAGCAGGGGCCTCCACGTTGTCCCCCCCCCCTGCTGCCCAGAAAAAAATAAAGTGAACACATTTTCAGTTTTACTACTACATGGTGCAACTTAAGTGACTTTTTTTTCTCTTTTCCTTTCCTCCATAGGCAAATAAAATATAACACAAAAGGCAAGGGACATTCTCTCTTTCATATTCCACAAAATAATTTAGTGCTCTTTAAATAAAATGAAAAACACTATTCTTAAATAGTGGTTTCTTAAAAAAAAATGTCAGAGCAAAAAAAAAAAAAAAAGGATGATAATACTCAAAGACAGTGATTCCCAAACAGTGATGAGAGATCGTCAGGTGTTACCGCAGCAAATTATCAAATTTCAGTTATTTGAAAGATAAATGATTTCCGATTAAAACAATTTTTTTTTGTTAATTTTGTATTGTATGTATGCCAACCACAGTTATAACAGACAGAGCAATAAAATGCTCGTCCACTAGACAACACAACGTGCAGTACATAATTGACCTGTGCATCCACTTTTTTTGTGCATCGTTTTGGTAAGTGGTGTGGCGTGACAATTTTTGTATTTTTTTTTCCAGATGTGAAATATGTACCTTAGCTCCATAAAGGTTGGGAAACACTGCTCTAAGTGACATCATTTACATTAGGGGAAAAAAAAAAAGGAAATCCCATGAAAGAAAATCTGTACACAACTCAAAAATTAATATACAGTACCTGCAGATGTTATGCATACAGTACAATTCTTTTTACATAGTTTTTAGTATGAGCTCCAGCCTGCTCTACATATGCGCGGAACACAGGTGGAAAAAGCGGCTAGTTATTCAGCGTAAGATCTGGTAGTAGTCATTTAGAAAACAAAAACAAAAAACATTATTGCAGGGTGTTCAGCTGCATACTGCATGTTTGGTGTCCTTTGAAAGATCGAGACACACCCACACACACAGGCCTGGACGGACAGTTTCAAACAAACGAAAAAGATGTTGCTGTTAAGTCTTCACAGAGGCGCCGACGAGGCGCTCTCCTCTGTGCAGTACATTCGTGGCCAGCATTGCACGCTACCAGCCGAGGCCACCCTGATAATGCGCGGCGGGTACGATCAGTGCATGAATCCAGTGACGAGACGAGCCCGCGGCGGTGGTTGTTTTTTTGCGTCACAGTTTGAGCTCGTTCGCAATTTTGCAGGCGATGTTCTTAAAGGCGATGGATGTTCCCGATATCCTCTTGAAGCGCACGCCGTTGAGGGAGAGGCGGGGCAGCTTGCACACCTCCATCTCCCACTGGACCAGGTTGTCCTGGCGCGCGTCGCCGTGCACGCAGAAGAGCAGGAAGCGCTCGCGCTGCTCGTAGTCGCAGCTGTTGGCGTCCAGGACCTTGCGGATCTCCCGCATCATCTCCGAGGGTTCCATGGACGAGGTGGTCTTCATGCTCCAGGTGAAGCGCAGCGAGCGCGGCTTGGAGTCCCGCCCGCCGTCCTCCTTGGGGTCGCCCGACGCGCTCCTGTGACCGCGGCAGAGGAGTGTCACCGTTGTTGAATTCAAAACATGAACGTACATAAATGAACAACACAATATTCGCTCAGTCGCTAAGTATACAGTAATCCCTGTCCGTTATGGGGGTTATGTTCCATACCACCCTTGCTATACTTGAAATCTGCAAAATAGAAAGACCCCCACTTAAATACACCCTCGGCATGTTTTCATAGCATTTACGGAAGTTTGTTTCTTTTTAAGGTCTTGACACACACTTTTAAAACAACACAAATGCCTTTCAGCACGCCGAATATATTGAGAGAGCAACTGAGGAACTCCGCTTTGAAACCGTCGGGCGGTGAATTTGTTCATCGCAGAAAAGTATCCTTGGAATTTGGTCACAATTTCGTTGGCAGACCATTTACACCAGTAATTAGTTCGGGTGGGTGGCACGGTCGACCTCACAGTGCAGAGATCGTGGGTTCGATTCCAGCTGCGGCCTTCCTGTGTGGAGTTTGCATGTTCTCCCCGCGCCTGCGTGGGTTTTCTCCGGGTACTCCGGTTTCCTCCCACATTCCAAAAGCATGCATGACAGGCTGATTGAACACTCCAAATTGTCCCTAGGTGTGAGTGTGAGCGCGGATGGTTGTTCGTTTGTGTGTGCCCTGTGATTGTCTGGAAAATGGATGGATGGATGCATTTGGGCCTGAAATAAAGTGTGTGGCGATATCCTGCTTTAGCCAAATTTTGTGTAGAAGGCCAAAGTTGACACGGGCCGGATTGAATGTGAAGTCTTGATGCTAAACCTCACCTGGGTGTGTCTGTCCTGGCACTGGCCTCTCCCTCGCTGGGCACCCTGAAATCAAACCAGGAATAACATAATTTTTTTATTTATTTTTCACTCCCACCAGTTTCACGGTAACAGACACCACCACCACCACCACCACCACCACCATCACCGCCATCATCAGTGTGACACAGCGAGGGGCTTCAGGCGTCATGCCAGGAAAGAATCCACATTCCTGGGTGAGCACACAACGAGACTAAAGGGGGTCTCCTGACTCTTCCGTGTTGGTCAAACACAATCACTTTCAAAAGACTCCGTCGGGCCTGATTCTTTTTCTCGAGGCACGAAAGCAGCAGAGGCGGGGGAGAGTCAAGGAGTCAGGAGGAGGAGCGTCAACAACATGAGAAGCAAGTTACAACGAAGCCGGTGAGGTGTGAGGTTGCTTCTCAAGGGAAGTGAGAGAGCGAGAGAGCAAGAGAGAGAGAGAGCGAGAGAAAGAAAGAGAGAGAGAAAGAGAGAGAGACGTGGGATGTAAACAGCATAACAACAGGTAGGTGTCAGTAGGGAATGGAGGTGCTACAAGAGGGACTGGAGGAGTTATTCAAACTCTTTATTGGTTTCGGGTCGGGCAAGAGGGGCACAGAGTGTTGTCCTACCTCCGAGCGGACCTGAAAGACAGAGCTCTATGCCAAGAGGAAGGAGAAGAAAAGAAAAGAAAAGGCGTGAGCCCGAAAAAAGGCAAGGGGCGCTGAAAGTACGGTATTAACCAAAATTTGGAATTAGGGTGTGAAACTTGATACTTTTATCTTCAAGTCCACAAAGTCTGAGGTCTGTCTGAAGAGAAAGATTCTTATGCTAAGGAAGTCAGCGTGCCCATTAGCCTTGCGTCTTTTTTGGTGACGTGCTGCCCTTTTTTTAGTGCATAATTAGGAGGTGCTGTTTGGACAGATTGAAATTTAGATGGCGGGTTAGTTTCAAGCCAATTTGGGTCTGTTGAATGAAATGTAGGTCAAGTTCAAAATTGTCCCAAACATAAAAAAAACGGCGCTGAAAAACATTTGAAGTCCATCTTGTATTTATCCTGACAAACTACAGTCAAATTTGTGTGTCAATGTCACCCCCGCCAACTGACCTGCGGACAAACTTGGAGGTGATCTTGCTGATGATGCCGGTGGAGGTGCCCCGCCGCTGCTGCGCCAGGGCGCCCGTGTCGTGGGACAGCGTGGGCGAGGCCGGCGGCCCGTTGTAGGTGGCGCTTCGGCGGTCTCGCAGCTGGGCGCCGTGGAAGGTGCTGCGGCTGGTGGTGCCCCGCGGGAAGCGGTTCTTCTCGGGGGTGCTAATACTGTGTGCGGAGGGAGAGGTGGAGGGACCCCTTGGAGAGGAGCTGGGGGGGGGGAAAAAAATGCTACGTTTAGTTTTTTGCGAGTCATTTACGGTACAAGCAAGCGTCGAATAAGCTGTCACTCGAGTCCAGTGACAAAATAACAGAGCAATCAAGATGGAGCTGAAAAACTTACCTACTCGCTGTTTTCATGCTCATTGAAACTCCCTAAGAGGCTACAAGAATAGCACATCTGTGAAGCTAGCAACGTTTTTTTTTCCCCCAGATGTGAATTGACGCCTATTTATCCACGCCATCTATTTCTTCAAAAACCAAAGACCACAATGGTATCTTAAGTTAAGATGGTCGACGCAAACTTCACAGCAAGCAGCACTTTGGCCAATCGTGCATTCTTCTTCCCCCAAAAAATAAAATAAAATTTTTAAAAAAGGAAGCCAAGACGTTGCTTTAGTTTACTGCCACTAAGCACAAAACTGAAGCGTGCTTTTTGTTTTGGACTTAAAAAAAAAAAATCATCATAATATATTATTTTTTTTAAAATGGAAACAAAATGTTTAGTTGGTGTAAAAAGTGAGCCCTCACCTGGATTTCAACTCTGTGTTGTCATCGATGGGGGGCAGTGTGCTCTTTGAAGGGTGTCCTGAAGATGACATGGACTTGATGTGACGAGGCCGCGTGGCGCTCACTGCGGTCGACGGGGTGCTGCCCGACACCTCGGTTAAACTGATACGACAGGACGCCCGGTTTTAAAAACGACCTTGTGGTCCTCGCACTCGTACCCGTGTTTGAACTGTGAGCGTGGTTACCTGCTGTCTTTGCCATTCGGAATGGCCGAGTAGCGCTCAGTGGAGGATCGCTCACACACATACGTGTTCCTGCGAGTCATTGATCCGTTGGTCTGAGGAAAGAAAATTCACACAACACAAAAAAACAAAACAAAACAAAACCAATCAGTGTTCTTCTGCCGATTTAATTGATTAAAATATAATTTCCAGCTTTACATAAAGATATTCAATTCATATTGAACGCAACTGATGGTCGCATGGTGTAGCGCTCAACTATTCCAGTTTCTTGCTTCCCCCCCCCCCCCCGCCCATTTGGAATATTAAAGAGTCCTTACCCCCACAGCACTTGTGGTTTTCTTCCTCTCCTGCGCTCCCAGCGGCGAGGCGGGAACATCTCCCTTGGAAGTGCTCAGCTCCAGTCGGCGGGCGCCATCCCACTCTTCTCGGTGGTCACTCTCCACGCTCAGAGCCTGACCCCGCCGCGTGTACGACACCGCCGGCGGCACGGAGGGACCCACTTAAAAAAAAAAAAAGAAAGAGTCGGACCAAGACGATGAGTTGACACGATGGAACGAAAACAGCAGCGGACGCCGATGAGAAAGGTCACCGGGCCTCATTCACTGGATGGGGTGAAAAAAACAGCCTGAACTTTACGGCCGTGTCAAAATAAGCATCCACTCTCGGTAACATTGACCAGTTGTGGAGTGACGTGCAATTTGGCAATCTACGCCTACGTGGAAATAAATGTGATAGAGGCATGAGCTATCGAAAGTATTCTTCGTGACTTCACAAGCACAAAAAAAAAAAAAAAAAAAAAAAAAAAAAATCATACCAGTGAATTAGACCCATCGTCTCCTTTCACGTTGAGCAAAGCCACCGAAAGCCATAATCAACATATCACTGTAGACATTTTGTTTTTTCAACGTATACAAACAACACACTCATTTCACCGTGTTACAAAAGCAAAGCCGATCACTCCTCGTGCTTTGAGGTGCTGCGGGAAAGCAGCCAGCCAGCAGATGTCACCAGACACAACAGGTCCCACATGACAGGAGGAAGCTGCTTTGATGACGCCACGTCAGCCTGAATTTAGCTTCTTAGGCGATTCTCCCTGTTTGTAGTCCCATCTTCTCAAAATAGTAGTTTCACGAGAGAGACTTGTGTCAACATGACTCACAGCGGCACGATGATGTCAGTAGCAAAACCGGAATTGAATTCATGATAGCGAGTGCTGTTTTTTTCCCCCTTATGTTCAACAAGAAGCACCTTTTAGTCTCATCTTGACTCCGATCATGTTGAGAGTGGTATAAACGTGACGACGTTTTACTTTCCTAAGAGGGTCAGAATAGAAATTTTGGAATATTTTTGTGTGCTCGGTTAGTGTGGCTGCACTGTGTGTGTTCAAGTCGCAGATGTTTGAAGGCTTAAAATCATTGCAGTCTGTGCTAATTTCCGTCCGTTCTTTGCGTTTCCCATTGTTAGCATTAAGCTAGCCGACAATTGAACGGTTCATTTGTGTTACATATCCAAAGTTTGGTTCTCTTTTATTTTAGGTGTCATTTGTGCCAGGAGTGACAAATGAAAATCTCATATGGAGAAGACGTGTCAAAGAATATTTTAACCCTTTCAGTGACAGCGGCTACTACAGTGGACATCTTATCAGGTTACAGGATTATTGGTGCATGATAGGGTCTCAAATATGTGTTTGAAACACTTTTAAATGTATTTTAACAAACTGAGGTGTAAAAACTCCAGACAAAAAAAATAATAATTAGATTGATCTCTCTTTGCTCTCTAACGCAGATTTTCGACTACTAAAGGTTGAATTGACCGTAACCGGGCAATCGGTGTCAGCAACTTCCTCCAAACGCAGCATTCAGCCAGCAGCACTCTCAGAGCTGGGAGGGAAGGGGTTACTTTACTTCGTCTGTCTACACCACCACCACCACCACCACCATCACCATCATCCCCACCATGATCGCTGTAGCGGCGCTGCTTCTGATTGGCCGAGATGCTGCGCGTGACTTTGGGATGTGCGGGAGAAATACTGGAGCCGTTGTTGATGTCGCTGGTGGGACGCTGCCGCTGAGCCAGGACGCTGTTGGTCAGGGGCTCGCTCCCCTCAAACTGCCATGAGAGAGTGGTTAGCTGGTCACATATTGCGAAATGCAAAATCGTGTGCAACGAAAGCTGTGACGTGTCAGTCGGTCAGAGCGTGTTTCTTCTTGTAAGCTTCAAATTCATGATTCTTTTGTCATCAAAAAGTCCTTTCTCAGTTTTGTTTTTGCTGTGTTAGAGCTGAAGTTGTCAAAAGCTAAAAAATATTGGCTTTTGACAAGCCAGTGCTTTTTGTGAAACCAAACCATGTCCTACTGTCGACGACAAAGAAAAAACAGGATAATGAACTGGTAAAAGCGAGCCTGCCGTCTTTTTTTTTTCTTAGTGCCGCAGAACTAAATATTCCGTGGATTGTGAAATATCAGTCAAAATACACGACAACGACTGGCAATATGGGGAACGATGCTTTGAAAACAGCTGGCACTGACTGATCGAAGCTTCAATTGCAATTAACATGCGGGCATGATGTGGACATGAGAGAGAATCTGACCTCTGGCGCTTTTCTTCCCAGCAGCAAATAAGTGGCCATGACATCATCGTACTTCTGGCTTTGTAAGGACTCCGTGATCTCATCTTTAGGGAAACCCATGGTCACCATCAGCTCTGTCGGGAACAGGAAATTTGACAACGTTACTCTCGTCAGGAGACCCTTGACGATGACCTCGACGTACGCCGAAAGGCACCTATTCTGGTCGAATCGTTGAAGTCGGCCTCGGGCTCGATGTACGGCTTCAGCTCCTCCTCCTCGTGACCCACATTCATCCAGTGGTCTTTCATGATTTGCTAACAAAGACAATTCAAATGTTTTGTTCACTCGTGGCGGCTTCTCGTGACACATATGCATGACCCCGGGGGCTGTGTGCAAAACTATTTTGAAACATTCTAATGACGAGCGGCGCTGAATAACAAACGGATCAATTGTTATTAGGTGCCTCGGCGTGCTTTGTGGAGCAAGTTCAGCGGCTGTATCGACTGCGAATTGACAACAGCAGAGTGTGTCGCAATGATTCATTGAAGTTTACCCACGCACACAAACACAATGGACACGCTCCAAGTGCCGAAGGCTTCTTATCTGAATCCTCACCAAAAATAAATAAATAAATAAATAAAACGGAGCAAATCAGCATAGCGTGAAAGATAATGCAAAAATTACCTCCAAACTTCCACGTTTGACCGGGTTGAGCACCAGTAGTTTTTTCAGCAGGTTTTCACAGTCTGTGGACATGTAAAAGGGAATGCGGTACTTCCCCCGCAGGACCCGCTCTCTCAGCTCCTGCGATGCGAGCAACAAGGAGGCGAGTTAGTTAAAAACATTAAAAAAAAAACAAAAAAAAAATGTCCAGATACAGTGAAGATCGTTGAGTGACACGCAGTAATAGTAGTCACAGAAGATAAAGAACATATGCCAGTGACTGTCTTAGTGTCTGTCTACATGTTTTGCTGCACTGTTTGTGTTCAAATATATTTTGCTTAAAGGGGTATGACTACCGCAACATGGATGCTAGTTTTCATTAGCCAGACTGTGCCATATGTGTGTTAGCATAAAGCTACGGGACCTTAGTCAGGCAAATTTAAGTGCCCTGGCAAAGACAAAATGTGCAATTGTGAATGTTGTATTTTTAGTTTCACAGTCAATGAAAATGACTTTTTTGAAGACCTGTTGACTATCTGACGCTTGTTGTGAGGTTCGCTGCCATCATCCAGTGCTCATTAACCAAATTTTTGCAATTATATACAAAAATTTGGGGGTGTTTATTGTAATTGACATATTTACATTGTGTTTGGACAGAACCGAATGTTATCCTTCCTCCAAAAAAAAAGAAAAAAAGAAAAAATGTGTAATTGTTAATTTTATCCAATGACGTCTGAGACCTGCAAAATGTTTGGTGGAAAATAAAAATGCATAACGTGACCTTTGAGAAACAAATGCATGGACTTTTCAGAGGTTGGTCTACAAAACAAGTTTTTCATGACAAAATCAATGTCAAGACTGCACCCCAAATTTTGGTATACCTTCTCGGAATTACTTCCTGCACACAAGCAAAATCATAACCTCTATAAAATTTAAAAAAAAAAAAAGCCAAAAATGAATAAAAAGTGCATCGCGTTTCCACTCTGTAAACTGCCGCTTGCCTCATGAATCATTTCGACAGTTGTGCATTATTGAAGTAGGGCAGATAATCCTCCAGAGTCTCACTCTCCCCAATGATAGAAACAGGAAATTCCGCTCTTAATCTGTTTATTCACGAAATACAGAATCATGCTGACGCATGTAACCCAAAATCATAATTAAAAAAAAAAAACAAAAAAACATCCAGTTGGGAAATACCTGGCCAGCACACCACTGTGTGTCGATTTTGGTCTTGGTCCTCGCAATGCACAGTGGTGCTAAAATACCAATAGCAACTATAGTGCAAGACCTTGACCTTGACCTTGCATGTGCAAACTAATGCCGCTTGTTAAAATGTAAGGAGGATAACTATATGATACGGAACGTGTTCGCACCTTGAGGTTTTGTCCGTCAAAGGGTAGCGAGCCGCTGACCAGTGTGTAGAGGATGACCCCGAGGCTCCACACGTCCACCTCGGGCCCATCGTACTTCTTCCCTTGGAAAAGTTCCGGGGCGGCGTAGGGTGGAGAACCACAGAAGGTGTCCAGCTTGCTGCCCACGGTGAATTCGTTGCTGAAACCGAAGTCGGCTATCTTGATGTTCATGTCAGCGTCCAATAGCAGGTTCTCGGCCTGAAGGGGGAGAAGACAAACGGCGCGTTCGGTGATCACATTCTAAGTATCTTGCTTTGATTGACATGTCAACCAAATTTTGTGTTGATCAGTCAAAATTATATTTCAATCCTTCCCCAAATGAGTTTTGTTGTTTTGATTTGGGAGCCATGATCTGGAGAATTTGGCTCGTCACCTTGAGATCCCTGTGAACGATCCTCCTCTGGTGGCAATACTGCACGGCAGACACAATCTGAAACACAAACGTCGCAGGCCTATAATTATGTCACGTAACATAATGGAACATTTTTCTCTGCCTGGAAATATCATGCAGCAGCGGGAAAGAGCCTTGAGGAACTCCAGGCAGATCTCATGTACTCGCCTAAGACGCCGGATGACGCGCGTCCAGGCAAGGGAAAATGAGGACTAAAACTTTTTTTAATCCAACTTTTTTTTTGTTTTTTTTTAAACAACTGCAGTATTTTTTAAAAATATAATCCAGTTGTATTTAATTCTTCAATACAGTGAAATAAATATGAATTTAATCTTAAATAACGGCTTTTCTTTCAAATTAGTTTCAGTCGAATTTTCATTTAACCTTTAGGGTGAATCCAATTTAATTTAATTTTTGTTTGGCTTTTTTTTTTTTTCCTGGACTTGTCCTACTCGATCACGTAATCGTTGAGGATCACGTCATTTCCAGCTGATTGATGGATTGAATTTGTTTGTCTTTTTTAATGGTCACAAAACAATATGGTAATCCTGAGCGTCCTGGTAGTAGTTGAGCCATTTTTTTTCTTCTTAGGTTTAGTCAAATGTTTGAGAACCACTGTCCTGGTGTACGCCATGATTGTGCAAGTGTACCTAATGTGATGCCCACAGCAACATACATCCACGCCTACAAACACGGCGTGAGGCGTCTTCTTTGAAAGAGCCATATTGTGGATGGGAAAGAAATTGTGAATTATCGCTCAAACGGGCGCGACTCCAGTGAATAAAAGGCGCATTCATTCACTACGTTTTGCTGTGAAAAGGAGCATCGGAAAGGGCCGTTGGATCAATGCTGATGACGCACCGCTGGGTGTCAGAACAAGCAGCTGCGGGAGGAGAGTGAGGTGCGAGCGAGTCGCCCGAGCCAGTCGGGCACGCTTCCACAGCTCTCCTCTGCAGTCCGTGACACAGCATGAGCTTGGCGCATGACGTGGCGTCGCTGACTCACCTGTCGGAACTTGGCCCTGGCCTCCTTTTCCTTCATCCTCCCGTGGGCCACCAGGTAGTCAAACACCTCCCCTGTAACACACAGAGGGGACATGAATGTGGACTCATGGCCCGAAAGAATTCATTTAGAGGAGGCGGGGCGTGGCTCGAGGGACAAGCTGCAGCGGTATTGCGGTTTCGCACACGTGCGGGCACCCGCGGTAACGTGGGGGCGCGTTCAAAAAGTCAAGAGAGTGTCACTCACCGCCGCTGGCGTACTCCATCACCAAATAGAGCGTCTTCTCCGTTTCAATCACCTCAAAAAGTTTGACTGCAGAGGGCAAAAAACAGACAAACAGCAGATTTTTTTTTTTTTTTAATATAAACAGCCCAAATCATCAGAGAACATTAAGCTCCCAATTTATTTTCTAATTTTGAAGCTCTGTGCGGTCTTGTTAAATCCTGTTTGGCATCCAGCAAGGCATGCACTCCCACTCAAGGTTACTTATCAGGTTTAAGCTTGGCTATGAGAGTAAATATTTTTAAAAAAAGTTTATGAAGCATGAGATTAGTGAAGTCATAATTTGGTTACAGATTTATTAAGACAATTCTAACAATTATTTATGCCTTTCATGCAATTAATATTCAAAAGGAAATGCAAAAAAAAAAAAAAAAAAAACAGATGTAAATAAAAATTCTAAATAAATTGTACAAAACAAATACTATGTTAAAAAACAGACAGGTAAAAAAAAAATTGACCCAAACTAGGTCAAAAAGAGACAACCCAATTTTTTGGGTTATTCATTTACCCAAATTTGAGGGTTAAATGAATAACCAGCAAAACAGCCTAATTTATGAAGATTTAGAGGTGAACAGAATAACCCCAAAAGTTAGGCCAGCCCCTTTTTGACCCATTTTGGTTTATTCTTGACCCAAATATTTTGAGTATTTATCACAAAAAGTTATTTTGTGACTTTTACATTTCAAATTTCAAATGATATCGCCAGATTTCTTATATTTAATTCTCTGGGAGAAATCACGCTGATACGTTTCAGCTATCAAATATGGATGACACAACTTTTTTCACATCATTAAATGTCAGAACTTACCAATGTTGGGATGATTCAGTAACTTCATTATTCGCACTTCCCTGAAGAGCTGTTGACACACACACACAGAGACGTTTGTCTTTTTGAAAACTGCTGATAAGGCGTATTTTACAAAATGCCATTATATGCACAACTCCGGCACACAAAGTTGCAAAGTGGATTAGATGGGAAGACTGGAGCATCACGGGACTTGGGTGCTATGTAAGGCAACATGACTGATGCGCTGGCAATAAGTCTTGCTCTCAGCATAAGAAAAAATAAAAAATAAATCTCCACCGACAGACTGCGGTATCAGTACACAAGCTTCCAGCCAGTCCAATCCAATAAAATCATGCACGCTCATCTTTGTTCTGCCAGCATCATGTTTATCGACTGACTGCAGAGCTTTAAGAGCATCTTGGCGTCATGTTAGACGAGCTCCCGCAGCCACTTAGAGGTGCTGTTGAATCATTTACATTTTGCTGACTGCCCGCCTGAGCCGCCCTCCCCCGCGCTCTCCAAAAAAAAAAAGGACTTTGCAGCCTTTTGACGTCAACAGTGACGTCGGTCATTGTCGGCCATCTTTGCTGACCCGCGTTCTATACTTGGGAGCGGAATTTAGTATTTGTGAGGATTCCATGACACTTCGATATGTTACATGAGAGAGTAAATGGCGCGAGTGTGTTTCTAGGTCATCAAATGTAGTTCGTAAGACCGAACCAGCTGGGAGCACTCAGATACTTTCTCCACTCATTTTTTCCGGCTCTCGGGCTCTACTGCTCTTTCAGGCGCCTCTTGTCTCATAAATATACGAAACTTGTCGTGATGACTGTGAAAAGTGACATTTTGAACAGAAATGGAAATCATGCTGGATGGCGAATACCGAGCATATTGTGAAGCTATCGTTTTACCAAGTTATTACTGTATATGTGATTGGGTGGAACAGTGGTCGGCTGGTTAGCATGTCTGCCTCACAGTAAAGAGGTCATGGTTCAATTCCGGGCCCTGGTCTTTCTGTCTGGCGTTTGCATGTCTTCCACCCCGTGCCTGCGTGGGTTTTCTCCGGGTACTCCGGTTTTCTCCCACATTCCAAAAATACGCACGGTCGGTTCATTGAACACAAAATTTGTCGGGAGGTGCGATTGTGAATGTGAATGGTGATGGTTTGTCTGTGTGTGCCCTGCGAGAGGCTGGCAAGCAATTCGGGGGTGTATCGCGCCAACTGCCCGAAGACAGCTGAGATAGGCTCCAGCACACCCGCGACCCTCGGGAGCATAAGCAGCTCAGATAATGGACGGATATATGCCATTGGAGAGCCAATTTACATCGAGACTGGATATCCAACATGCATTCCCGACCACATGCCAGACAATATGGCGTCCCCTTTCTCACATTTTCAGCATTCCGGCTTTTTACCTTGCAAGGTCATAAATCACTCCAAACGTGAAGTGAGCCTTGGATCCATTTTCTATTCCAATACTTTGAAGGCTAAACTAATATGTGGTTTCTGTTAAATTTTTTTGTTGTTTGTTTTTGGTCTATTTTCTATTCTTCCTAATTTTCTGCCCTGTTGTTGACAAAGCATTTGAAACAAATCATGCAGCAAATTGTAGGTCTGTAAAAAGCTTATTAATCAACTACCGGTACAATTATTCATTCTAAGAAAAGAATGGCCTGAAGTAGAGGACAATAAACAAACGGGCCATGGCCTCAGTTCACGTGACTTTGCCATCAAGACGAACATTCTTCATCCTTATGAATGAGGGCTGGACTAAAGACTCGCTATCTCATCTTGATGTCTGACGTTTCCTGCCTCACTCGTTCCCTCTCTCTCCTTCTCTCTCTCTCTTTCTCTCTCGTGTGCGTCACCGCCTCGAAGCCCCCTCACATGGGAAGCACGCGTGCAGCCGCTCGGAAGCGAAAAAAATGACAACAAATCTGAGGAGGGCTGTGGAAAATGACAGACGGGGGTGACGGTCGATGATAGGCATGTTGTCACCGCCGAGGCTGACGGGGCATGATGAGATCTTTGATGGATCGCCGGCATCAATGTCAATAATATCCACAGGCGCAAGGCGGAGTCACACAGCGCCCCCTTGAAGCCACTTTTGGGGTTGCTCTGAAATGGATTCCCTTGAATGAGTTAAAAGATTTTTTTTTTTTAAAGTGATCCAAAATGATGACCAAAAACAAAACGCTAATTACACAAAATATGACAACACGCACATTGTTCAACACGCCTGGCGTTTCAGTAGTCTGTGCCAGTGACCTACTTCCAGCCACCCAGGGGCACCTAGACTTCCAAACTAGCCTTAATTACAACCCAGTCTCTACACGCAAACCACCACATATCAGACCGGGAACAACTTACACAGACTGGCTGGACTATTTCAGTCACAGATGCTCCTGCAACAAGGACGTTATTGTTAGGAAGTGCTCATTGCTCTAATGAGGGGGGCTGGATGTGCGCATACACATAGGTCAAGCGTGAATCGTGTTTCAAAAAAGAATCGTGTCCTCCTCTCGCGTACGTTTATGATTTCAGGGGTGTAGAATTGCACTGCAGCATACTGGGAACGATTTCACGATGATAGGATTGAAAATGAAGTAGTACCTTGATGTTTGAAATCCTTTTTTTCAGTCTTGGGCAAAATATTGCATTCGATTGTTATTGTGTACTGACTGATGTGTCCAGTGGGTAATTATGCCACACGAAATGTACGTTGGGGGAGGGGGGGGAACAAGAAAAACGGATGCACGAGCAGCAGTTAAAACGCATCCATGAACAGATCAAGTCATAAATAAATGCACGACTAAGCAGCCTCAACATTTGACGTGTCCGCCCAATTGCTTTCCGCTCATCTGAACCAGACCAAAGCGGCAGTTGGGCCCCGGGCGGGACGGCATCTCATTGGCTAACCCAGCGTGGCAGGCACGAGATGGACGTAAACAGCCATTATGGCAGCGCGGGCCGACGGTGGGCTATTTGTAAAATACACAAATGAGGCAGGACGGTTCTCTGAATGAGCGGCATCAACTTCAGTTTACAAGCCGTCAAAAGGAAAGCGAACGGCGCTCCCGATTCCCAACCTGTGTCGACCTTGGATTTGGATTCCAGCGGACTGAAACGGCGTTTCAGCCTTGAAAATAAACAGTTCTTATTTACAGATTAGGGTGAGAGAGTCAGAGAGAGCAAAGCGGGATGATGGGACGGTGGGCAAAGAAGGGATTAACAGAGAGGCCTATTTTAAGGATAAAATGCCGAAAAAAAAGAAAAAAAAAACACGACAGCATCAACATCCCCAGACCACAGATGTCAGATGATGCGTTTCCTCTGGCGGATCTCAGGAGGTGCTTTGGAAGCTCGGCCCAACTTCATTTCCTGTGTGCATTCAAAAGCGCCCGTGGAGTCACAATGGGCCAGAGGACGCCACTGGGTCACACAGAAACAGAGGAGTTCTTTTTCCTGAGATGATCACTTACTGTGGCTAGGAAGACAAGTGTATTGGGAATGCGTTTGAGAGCGCAAAACTTCAGCTACGAATGCTGTCTGGGCGCAAAGTCACTCAACTCACTTCACGGCGAAGTTTGGCAGATCAATTTTGTGAATATTCTTCAAAAAGATGTTTATCGCCACCATCAGCCAGAGTTTGCTGGCAAACTAAACATAAAACAAACAGAGTCGAACTAAAACAACTACAGTACGTAGCCTCTGCTAGCCTAATGCTAACGTACAATGAGACACTCGCAATTAGCATGTACAATACATGGCGTTGTTGTTACTCTTTCGGCAATTAGTTTAAGTACACAGATAACATTTCCCACAGGCATATATTCTTTATCCTCTGCGGGGAACGGTCTGTTGGTGTACCGAATGCACTAATACTAAAAAGTGGATTTAGATACGCTGCTGTCTGTTGAGTGACAGAGAAAGAAACACTCCTTACATCCGCGATGTATGTGAACCAATGTACAAAATCCATTCATCTCAGGACAAGATTCTCAGGCTAATTTCCCCTTCTGCAGTCCCCGAGCAGGTAAACAAAAAGATAAACAGAAAAGTACCCTTTGTGCAACGGGGGGAACGGAATGGGAAGAATACAAATTGTGTCTTTGCCAAACAAAGCGTGTCCTTTTTCTTTTTAGAACAGCCGTGAGCCAGAAAAGAAAAAAAACAAAAGAAAAAAAAAAACACTGGCTCTCGTCCGCCGTTGTCCTTTGTTTACTATTCGTCATCTTGGTAGAAGTCATTGGCTGGCTGCTGTGTCGCAGTATTGTCGTCACTTGGAGACGGGGAAGAAACAAAAGTTGTAAATTAAAGTGATCGACAGGTGGGTTAAGTCTACGAAGAACTGCTAGCCTTTAGCATGAAGCAAAAAAAATAAAATCTAAAATAAAATAAAAATCAGCTTCCGTACATGCAGTGGTATAGGATGCGACTGCAGTGCCAGATGGCGAGCCCATCATGAGCTCCTCTGAAGCCACAAAAAAAAAAAAAGAAGAGAACCCCAGATTGACAAACTAACATAAAGGCGCCATGGGCGGAAATCTGGAAACTAAATCACTCATGCAGAGTCCCAAAACATATTAGAAATGACAACCAGAAAGTGTGTTTCCTTCATGATCTTGAGTTCCGGTCTGTGTGTGTTTTTTTAAGATTCAAAGTGAGGGGACATAATAATAATAATAATAATAATAATTAAATAAAAAATAATAATAATAATAATAATGATAATTAAATAAAAGGTGTTGATTCACTCGGCGGAAGTTGTGGTCATTGTCGGCTCGTGAGCGCGATGTGCTTACGTGTTTGCTTTCTGACCGTTAGTTTAATAAAGCGATTAAAAGCACACCGGTGTCTCTCTCTACCCTTGACCACTTGCGGAAGGAATTACGATACGTCCTAGCTCGCGGTGGCAGGCTACGTTATATTGTTTACATATGTACAGTTGCGTAAGACGGTCCTGCATTGCAATAGACGCAATGTACTTTCCCTAACGTTGGACGTTGGCTTTTTCACACACTTTTCTCCTGGCTTGCATTTACCGGCACGAGAGTCTGCGGCGACAGCCGGCGTCGTGAAATGAACACCACAAAATCCTGCACCGTACATGAAAATCTGTGATATCGAATTCGATTTCAAAAGCTGTGATGCGGTGGAACTGCAGAAAGTTGACAACGTGATTATATGGGATGACTGTGAAGTCATCGTTGTATACAACCTGTACTCACAGAACGGCGAGTATTTGCCTGGATGATAATCACCGCGACATCTATGCTAATTTCTGTTAGCCCGTCAATAGTGTTTCACATTATGGGCTGAGTTAGAATTTAAATGGCGGACCTTCTCGAGATGAAATGAGATACTTTGGTTGAACATTTTCATGTTTTAATATACAATGTTTAATGCCAACTTTGGTTTTATGTGTCAGCTTTACCGTTAACCTTAACTCATTCACTCCCAAAGACGGTTTTAAACGTCTTTTCAGACTTGGTCCAGAATTGGATGGTGCTGAATGAGTTAACTGGGCGTGCGTCTTATTTGGAGGACTGTGTGAGCAGGACAGTGGGAGCAGTTAACCAGGAATACTGTAAAAAGTGTTTGAATAATATGGGTTTTGATGAATGTGATTAAAGTGTGCGGGAGTCGCAAATCAAAAAAACATAAATTCGTAGCTCTCACTAGATCCTGGATTTTCACTTGCTGCGAACGTGCAAGTCGGCCCCCCGCTACTAGTAACAATGAGGTTAAACCCATCTCAAGTTGCTCCACGTCTTGTTATATCCTCAACATTCATTCATTCCTAAAATGATGTCCTAGTGTGCAAATCTAGAAGCAGCTCAGACAGCCTCAAGCAACGCTGTCAAAGAATGACTAGACATCTAAACCCCCACGCCTCCTCCCCCATCCCCCTGACGTGCAGCTAAAAGCCTCGCGGACTCTAATTAGCGTCACCCGGTTGGCACATGAAACCCGGCAACACTTGACGGCCTCGAAACAACGCTCACGCTTTCGAGCCCGCCTCACATGACAGTCGGCCAAGAGAGCAAAAGTTGACTGAGGGCGTTCCCAAGGATGGCAAAGGACAACGCCGAGTCAACGAGGTCGTCGATTCAGCCCGGGAGTCTACTGCTGCATTATAAGACGCACACGTCCGCATTGCAGATGGGCCTTCTGTATACAGTTACGGTCGTCCATAAGAAGTGAAGTCGGCGACATTGAAATATGCAAGCAGCTGCGCCACAAAATTAGGTACGTCAACGATCAACTAATGTAGCAAATAGGGGCCCTTGGTTTTGATTGGTTGGAGATAACAAGTGCTAACCATCTGACAAATTTAAGGTCACGTTAATATATGAATATCATGCTGGGTTGAAATGAAGGTTCGCAAGCAGCTATTTTGTCTACAATTGGACAAATAAATACTATGCACTTGTTCGCGAGTTAGGTAGCTAGCTAACGAGTATGGCTAACGTTAATTTGTCTCCACTTTGTCCTCACATTACATCGCAGAGATGAGCAGAGAGGTTGCGAGCAGTTGAACTCGAGGAGTGCATTTTGATGTGTTTTTTAAAAATCCTATTGTTTATTTGTTTCTTTACACTGACGAGGTTGACATGCAGTCAATCAACCTTTGAAAACCCGAATTTTGGAAGGTCATGCAAGCGCGCAAAAAACCCCACGATGCTCATATTTGGGTAGACCTCTGGGTTACACCTCTTTTCTAACCCAAATATTTAGTCATATCAACAGGTATCAGGATACCAACAGGTATCAGGATACTTCCATAGAAAGGGACATTGAGTACAGGAAGTATTTGAGAAGTGAAGCCACCAGCGGGCATCTTACATTGCCACTGGCTATGCAAGCCTAACTTAGTCATTGATTTACTTCCAGAGAGCTTAACAGCGGCTCTCATTGCAATACCGTGATACCGTGAAGCCACGATATTTTTACTCTCGGTTATCATCGAGACAAAATGGGTTATCGGCCTGTGCCTCGTTGGCGCCATACTTGCTGTTTTATATTCATGACCGAAAAGTCTCAAAGACACTTTTTTTTTTCAATTCAACAAATAAGTGATCAAAGTATGCAGACAAAAAAAAAAAAAGCAATCATTTACCCTCCATAAAACTCCAAAGGACATCGACTTGTGTGTTGACCCTCTTCACAACAACCCGAAGCAGACATCTGAAAGGCGCGCTGAATAATTCATAGCGAGCCAGCTGATTGGTCACCGCTCTCACAACATATTGATGCTGCTTGCTACACGTCGTCAACCTGGCAGCGGACAATCTGACCGATCAACCTTGTAACCCGGGCCGAACCCTAAATTGAGACTCGTCCAAGCCACAGCGGCGGCGATGCTCGTTACCGCGATGTGTGCGCACAGATTACAAACCACATAATGGGCTGTTCAACAAAAGAGCCCGCACACTGAAATGAATCTCGGTCAGATGAGATGAGTGTCTCTTTTGTGCTGATTAGCTGAACAATTGCAGTCGGATCCCATTATGATCAAAGTCAATTACAGATGTGCTTGTGGACGGGAGAGAGCGGCACTGGCGGAGGGGGACTCAATCCAGACACATATTCCGGAACAATGGAAAAAATCTGACTTTGTGTGTGTAGACGCTCGAAAGCAAGAGCGTGACTTCCACCAAGGGAACGGTTTAAATTTGAAGGCATTCTTAGGGATGTAACGATTCTGCAAAAATGAATTACAAGTTGATTTAAAACGGCTTCAAAAATGCATAAATGTAAAAAAAATAAAATAAAAGAAATTAAATCGAAATTTTCATCAAAAAAGGATTTGTGATGGTGTCAAATCCATTGTACATTCATTTATTTATTTTCATGTTTAGTTTTGGCATTAACAAAACACTGATGGACAAAAATTTATTCCAATTAGTTCATTTTCAATTGTTTTGGAAAGTTACAAAATGTTGCTGTCTCACACAGACAAAATGCAGATATTAAGATAGAAACATATTTTGCTGATAAAATGAGTCAGTCATTTTGTTCAAAAAAAAATTGAATTGAATCAAAAACAGGATACTGAAAATCAAAAATTGAATTGGTGCTTGAGTGAATCGTTACATCCCTCGGCATTCTGCATCATCACATTATGTGTTTATTCCTTCAACAGCAGTTTCCCAACGCTTCAACTATGAAGGGAATTGAGTTTCCTCGCAGCTAAAAAGCTTTTTTTACATCATCAGCTTCCTGCTAACCAAGGAAAAATGCGCTGACAATGCATGGCCATGCTACTTTCTTGCATTATAAGTGATTTCCGAAACACTACAATGCACAACTGTGCAACTAATCGGCGACGTATAAGGTAACATCAAACACAAAAACCAAGACAACTAACTGCACAGCGTGTACTTAGACAAATGCTATCATTTTGTTTTATAAGAATCTGCTAGCTTAATCCCAACACACAACGCAAAACACATGTAGACAAACGTAACGTATGACAATACTCACAGGCATATATTATTTATCCTCGGCAAAAACATTTAATAGTACCGCAGCGCTCTACTTTCTATATCGCGGATTTTCACTTTATCGCGATAAACGGGGGCTCGCTGTATGACAACGGCTATCAAGTGAATTATATTTTACTACTTTTCTGGGAGCCCGATAGGGAGGGCAAAAAAAAAAAACTGATTTCCCTTCATGCTAATTTAATATCGATGAGATATTGTAATGACATGCGCCACTGCGGGTGAGCCAAGAGATGCATCAAGGTCTTAACTGCCGTTTTTTACAGGGCGCGATTGTGGTAATGGCCTTTTAATGTGCGCCGACGACAGCCGCGTGGCAATTTGTTTGCCATCCGCTACATGCCAGAATCGAGAGAGGTGAGCTGTGATAATGTGATGCGCAGAGGAATAAAGCACCTCTGCCAGTCAAGCCGCAGTATTTTTAGATGCAAAAACTCAAAGCAGGTGGCTAACACACACAAAGACACACACACGTTAGCAGCAGCAGCATTAGGAGCAGTGTGCTCCTTGCCTCTAAGGATATATATATATATTTTTTTTTTTTTAATCAGTGTGTGCGTGTATGCGTGTGTGTGGTGAAAGGGCCAGATTTAGAATCAGGAAACAGTCACTTTTGTTGTTATTGGTCATGACTGTTCAACAAAAGGTAAGTGACACAATGAGGCAAGCGGTGGAATTTTTGGCTGCGGTCAAACCACAAAACAAACTGTGAGTCAAAAGTGGCGGGCGTGGTTCAAGGGGAAGGGAAGTGGAGGTGAGGATATCAAACCCACGCTGAGGTTACATGTCACAACAACGAATCCTTTATAGCATTTAAAGAATAACGGGAAAACCGATATTTCGGGCTTTTTCTCTTTCTATGGTTTCAGTGTTAGCTTCTCTGAGTGGAAATGTAGTTATAATTTGGCTTTGTCGGCTACTTCTCGGTTAAGACAATATTTAAGTGTGATATTAGGGTGAGACTAGGATTCCCGCGATTGTGTCTTTTCCTGTAATAACTTTCTTCAAGCATCTCATTGGGTTAAAGGGTTAAAGCTAGCTAGGACCGATAGCGCTAACGGTAACATTTACGCTATTCGATAGCTAGCCCATCGACGGCGTTTCCCCTCTTGCGTTAGCATTGAGCTAGCGCACTCTGTCGCGAATTTTGTCGCTTGTATTGAATTGATCGGCGTCCTTAGGCAATGGAGGAAAAGAACATGATTTTAGTGGACTGACGCATCAACACAAATATGTCCAATGACACTGACAAGGAAACAGGAATTCAGAACATTTCCCCAGCTCTTATCATATTAAAAGAAAGAAAAATGGAACATAATTGTACAGATAAATGCAAGTGATATTTGAAATGAAAAAAATGTGATGAATGGCTGATAAAGACAACAAGGAGGACTCACCTTCTGTAGACTGGTGGGATTCAGCTGGGTTTTATCTATAATCTTGACTGCCACCTTGGGAGACAAAATGCGGGGGGGGGGGGGGGGGGAGGAGAGAGTGAGCTAGAAAAGTAATTCCCAGTCTTGTGGAGTTTTGTTTTGTTTGGAGCAAACCCTCTTCATTATTTCCCCGCAGGTGGCAGCTTTGCCACAACATGCTGCGGCTGAATCGCACCTTGAAAAAGCTTTTGATTGACAAAAAAAACTTGACTGTTTCCCTGTGGTGCACTGTATGCAAATGGAGGCGCGCCAGCAAACATGGACAGATTAGCATAAAAGACAGCAGTGAAAAAAAAAAATTGTGCATGACTCTGCAGGTCAGTCTTGGCCCGGCGGGTTGCACGGGTCAGCAGCGTGAAGCGTGCAAGTTCAATGATTGGCCCAAAGGGCAAAGGGAAAACAGATCGGCTTCGCTGCGCTTCGAAAATGTTGAGCAGGCTCTACAGCCTTCCTGCTCACCGCCATTTACAATAAGTTACGACTTCAATCAATACCAAGAAATGCAGAGTCACAATCACAATGTATCCCAGTGGACGTATTTTGCACTTCGCTGTCTTACAGTGTAGCTTTGCTGCCTTTTGGGGGAAATCCATTCATAAAAGACGAAATATTTTTGTGATATAATGTACAATGGTCTCACACTTGATACCGAGAGAGTGAGAATAAGAGTTAAGTAATTGAATGAATAAGTTTGAACATGTTCCGTTTCTCCCATAGTCTATAGATTGTGGATTTTCACTTCTCACCAGTGGGTCTGGATCCTCACTATAAACGGGGCTTCACTGTTTTATATGACTGTTACGTAACAGCGCAAGTTACAGAAAACATGCGCATTTCTGCTCAGGCAGACAAAAGAGCAAAGTTGAGTCACAGCGAGGAGAGTTGCGGGTTATTCATGGGGAACGGTGTTTCTTTAAGACCCACAAGCTGCTGGTCCGGACATTTAATTCCATCCCGACATTGAAGCTACACAGTGGCGGTTACATCTCTCCTTTTGCCCAGGTCACAGGTGATTTATTGGCTTTCTTCCATGCTGAGCCAGTATTTCCATTTTTTTTTTTTTTGTTCTCCAACTGTGAATTATTCAGGATGCGTTGACAGCGAGTCACTGCATGCGTGACACCCTGTTAGCATGAAATATGTATTTGAAAGAAGATAAACAAAAGTCAGTGGGCTGTGGACGGAGTCGTTCCCTGCCACCGCTAGCGTCAGCTGCTAGCGCGAGCCGCGGATCGCTTAGCTAGAAACGGATTAATTTCATTTCTGTGATTTCCTATGGGGCAAAATCCAAATAAATCCAAAGAGATTGCATTGCCCCTCAGTTGTTTCGGTGTAGCACGGATGTCTACAAACCAACCATTGGCTGCAAGATTCGTTATAATTCATTATCAGAATGTTGTTCAATCACAGAGTTCAACTGGCCGGTTGTCAAGGTAACGGAACCTGTCCGAGCAAAATATGGTATAGGGTGACTCGTATGACACAGGGCCATTCGTGAATTTCAGTCAAACAATAAATAGACAGTAAAAGTAGTCCCAAAAGTACTAATTCTGGATTTCCATTGATGAAACTTTCAACGATTTCAGCAGGCTTTCTTCTTCTCTAATTGTTATCAGACTCGCCAGATACTGTCGAGGCTCTGCGCTAATGTTTGCTCTTTCAGAGTGTGCGCGTCTAAATTTAGGTCTTCCGGACACTTGTTCTCTGTCAAGCGTGCGAATACGCTGAGAGCCTCCTGAGTCAAATTTGTGTTTGCTATTGACATGCGAACCCGTGACAACAAAGTCAGGAGAAAACCTGAACACAGGCGGAAATCGCACACGCTGCGCAACAAAGCTTGATTGAAGGGTATAATAAATGCCGGCATCAGATGACACGAATGCAGCCCGGTTTCGAGTCGAAAGACGTGTCGCAGACAAACATGGTGTCTCGTAGCTGATTTTTGGGTTGTCTTGACGCCTCGTTTCCTGTGTAGTGCGACATACTCACAGATTGCTCGGGAAGCGTCTGGCACACGTCACAACCACGACGACGAAAGTCTGGCATTTCAGAATTTTTGTTCGTCTAGTTGTTCAGTGTGACGTGTCATGTGTGACAACCGAAGAATCATCCTACGGTTGGTTCTTCGGCATTGACCAATAGCAAGACGGCGCCCTCCTACTTAATGCCGAGGGACTGCACCTGGGCCGTCCAATGACGAGGTGTACCGTCGTTAAAAAGTGATTCGAACAACTTCGGACAAGTGAAGGTTTCACTGTATATTTGAAAACATGGGCATCACGGCCAAAATGTGGAGTCATCTGAAGCGGTGATCAGTCAGGCGATAGCCCGCCCGACGCACTTTCAGTTGTTTTGTCTCACCCTCCTCGCATGCAGATCGCATGGCATTTATTGGTTTGTGTTCTTTCCCGCACTCCGATCCGTGCCTTTGCATTCTGATGAGCCAGCAAAGCCGCTCCGGGCACACAAAGCAAGCAAGCGACTGACCTTCTGCTTCTGACCTGGACCTGGGAATCCAATACGCCCGTTTAACATTGGCCGGCGACAAGGACGGCGTTAGCACTCCTAATAGGGGGGAGGAATACATTTGTGGCGTCACGACTCCTAATGTGGCCAGGCGCCGGATGAAACTCTGAGGATGAACGAGTGATGCGAGCAGCTAAGAAAGAGCTGCGGCACCATGCAGGTTGGCGACTTTAACGAGAATGGCGCAATCTGTACCTCCACCAAATTAAGTAAGACATCTTTATTGATACCTTACTCCATAATATGCCGGAATTTTGTGATTCCTTGTTAACAAATGGCCTACTGGCGGACGCATTATGCGTTAAAATGTATGCACTCGCATAAACGCGATCACGTGAAATTCTTACTCGCGCAAATTTGAAAAAGAAGAAGGGAAAAAAAAAAACAGGTCGCATACGCGATCATTTTAGTCGCATTCTTTAGGCCTACTATTGTGCGCTTCCAGTAACGCCAACAGATGAAATTCTTAATCGTGCAAGCTGGAAAAAAAAAACAGGTCGCATATGCGATCACTTTGGTCGCAGTCTCCAGACCTGCTGTTGTGCTCTTGCACAAATGCGACCAGATGAAATTCTTACTCGTATACGCTGAAAAAAAACAAACAAAAAAAAAACTGGATGCATAAGTGACCCTTTTGTTGCTATTGTTCCAAAAGTAAGATTCCAAGCTGTTTAAGTCAAGGATCTAGAGTCCAAAAGCACTTTCTCAAGTGGAGAGGAGTCCTTTTCTGTCACTGATGGACTATTCTATGCTAATGCACCCCACAGAGATAATTACTGGACTCCAATGTAACAGTCGGTACTTTTATTATGGCCAAAAGGGGACAAATATGCACCCAAAAGTCAAGAAGGGCACAAAAGTCGTATTTTGTGAGACAATCCATTCGATCCCTCAAGGTGTGGAGGAGTTGACTTTTCTTACCTCTCTTCCAGTCAGGACGTGTCGTGCCAGTTTGACCTTGGCGAAATTGCCCTTCCCGATGGTCTTGAGGAGGCGGTAATTCCCGATGTGCGGGTGCTCCTCGGTGGAGGTGAAGGAGTTGCGACATCGCGGCAGGCTGTGGCGACTCGCCGACTTTGTCGGGGGGACCGGGGGCTCCACAAAGCCATCCACGGACGAATGCTATAAATAGACCGGGTGGGGAGAGGTTAGCGTCAGCAACGCTTGCGACATCTACGATGCAGGTCGAACGTTTAAATATACAGTGTTTAATATCTTTCGTTTCACGTGTCTGTTTTCGAGTAAACTTCAAATGGGACCGGCAAACAGCTTGAAGCAAGCACGCCGGACCTCTTTGTAGAACACTGTGAATGAGAGCGTGACAACAGGTACTACGGAATAAGTTCAAAAGTGCGTTTTAATTAACATAATTTGACAGATAATGGTGAAGAACAACATTCTTTCTGACATACGAGGATTGGCCAAAGTGTCAACCTGATAGACAGAGCACAGCGCCAACCACTGGCAAGGAGGACTTAAAAGTTTTTTTGTTGTTGTTTTTATAGTATTGCTAGCATACACAAAGTATACGACCTCTTGAAATGAAGCCGGAATGGGCACAATATCGGAACTCGTCTATTCCTAGTTACGGGTCACTGTATTTCCCACTTATACTTTATGTTCCACTGCATTTCGCTGCGAATCTTCAATGACGATGATCGTCTGCCCTGATTGATTTTGCTGTGATTCTACTCGCGAGGCATGCAAAAAGTTGAGTATGCGCCGCTGTTTACACTCGGCGGCGCAAAGTAGCAGCCTGCGTGCTAATCTAATGAGAGAGCCATGTGACCTCCCGCACCCCCCCACCGCCACTGACACACTGACCTTATCAGCACCGGATGACACTCATTCATTTTCAAGCTTCTGAGAGTACACCCAGAAAAATTCCAGCCCGCCGCCGAGAGGCCTTCTAACAACACGCCGACGCGAGTCGCGCCGTTCTGGCATGCGAAGGTGAATTAGCGGCGGATAGCTGGGAATACAACGCTGGCAACGGCAGCTGCCCGTGTCAGTCGAGGTCAAAGCTCCCATGATCCTCTGCTCCTCCCGGAGCGCCACACCCAGCCAGAGGATAATTCCCCGGTGCCGTAACCAGGGCCGGCTGGCTCCTGTTTCACGCGGCGAAACGCTACACCGTGCAGGGCGCGCATCACCTCAGTGCCAGCGTGCATGCTGACATCCCATGAGTCACTCGGGCACATTCGACAAAAAAAAAAAAAAAACATTTCTGGAAGAGACCAATTTGGATTTTCCGCATCACCTTGAGTACCCGTTGGCATGGTGAACCGGTTAGAAACAAAACAAAAGTGTGATTGAACACTTGGCCTGCTCCCAAAACGCTCTGAATGAACCAAAACGGAGAACCGGGACAGGTTCTTCTTGACGGGCTGGTGCGTCACAAGGCTGCCAATACACAAACGGTGCCTTCCCATGGACTCCCAGCCGCATAAAATGATAGAGGCAAGTGATATGGAAAGCCGGTTGAGCATTGATTCCACCTTCTTGAAATCCAACTTGAGACGCTCATACTAGTACACTTTGTCCACACTTGTCAGACAATTCAGCAAGATTGGAGCGCACTAGTAGAACTCGCTTACAAGTAGGGCCCAACTCAGATGGATTTTGTTGAGGCCAATGCCGATTCCGAGGAATAACTGATTCATCCGTCGATTAATTTTAAAAATATATGATGATTCAAATAAGCTCTTTTTTTGGTCACTTAAAGGCTAAAGATAGGAATTACATGCAACACATGTGACTGTTTTAAATTACTTTGTCCTTTAGAATTGAACTTTACAACAAAGAGAAAATCAATTAAAAAAAAAAGAAAAAGAAAAAAAAACATCCGGGTTTTTTTTTTCAGATTTTTTTTTCCCCCATCATCTTGATCTTGTAATGTGTTAATGCAGGGGTGTCAAACTCATTTTTGTCGTAGACCATATTTTGGTTTGTTTCCCTTGAGGGCCGTTGGACTGAAACCATTTCAAAAAAGAAGTCGATTATCATAGTTTATTCAACTGTTGTTGAATTTACTGTAGGGGTTTTGGTAACAAGAAAATGCTGACAATATGTCTCTTATTTAATACATATGAGAATTTTACATTTTGGGAGAGATTTCAGCAAGCAGCATGGAAGTTGACATGTTTGATTTGCTTTCACGGGCCACATAAAATGATGTGGCGGACCAGATCTGGCCTCCGGTGCCTTGAGTTTGACACCTGTGTGTTCATGTGTAAATTTTTTTTATAAAAACCTGAAAAAAATCTGATGATTTTTGCCATTTTAAAATAGCTAATATCGATTAATCGGTCAGGCCTTAACATCTAGCTTGAAAATAAAAAATGATGCCAGAATCTTTCTACGACATAATTCTACGAGTATGCCGAACCGGCTTACTAATGACAGCAAAAAGCGTAGCAGTCGTCTTTCGCACAGGGACCTTAAGCTGGAGATCGAGGATATGGAATCAATGCTCCAACAGCTTTCCATACGGTTGCTGTAACGTCTTCACGGAAATCTGACGCACGCGTGCACGCACACGCGATAGTCCACTAAAAGCCTACCGCCTCTCTTAGGTACTAAGTTGTTATGCAACGAAGATCTGTTGCGAGTGGGCCTGGGGGGCCTCGAGCTGGAGTCCGACTCATTCGAGCCCCGGTGGCTAGTGCGAGTGCCTTTTATTGATTGATTTTCTAAACAGCCGACACATATTGAGTGGCTATAAAAAAATCGACACACCCCTGTTCAAATGATATTTGGGGAATAATATTAAAAAAAAAAAAAATGAGACTGATTTTTCCACCACTGCTGTGACCTTTAAGCTCAATTAAAAAAAAAAAAAAAAAAAAGGAAAGCTTTAAGAGAGGGGGAGTGAACAACAGAGATAAAATGGTTGCACAAGTTGACACACCCTCTCATAACTGTTCAGAATGAACGACTCCCATGCAAACTCATGTTAAATGGAAATCAGCACATATCTGCCACCATTTGAAGGGCCTCTGATTCACCCCAAATAAAGTTCCAGCTATTCTAGTCGGCTTTTCCTGTCACATTTTGCTCTCGAGCAGAAGCCTGCGGGTTTTGTGCTGACTGGGTATTTTGTCTACCTTGACCAAGGCCCGAATTCCATTCGAAGAAAAACAGCCATAAAGTGTGCTTTTGATGCTAAAACTTATTAAAATTATTATTTTTTTGGAAATGTTTGAGGAAGTAACCTTTTCCAATAAGGCGCTCCATAGGTACATTAGCAAACATTAAAAAAAGAAAAATAATTAAATAATACAAAATATAATTCTAAATAAAATCTCAATGTAGTAAAACAGTAAAAGTAGTTCCTTGGCACAAAAAGAAGACTTCTCTGCCCTTCCCCGCTTTGTGATGCGACATCAGAGCGGAAACGCGCCGACGTTAGCCATGCTAGTTAGCTTGCTAGGCGCTTGGGCGACGCAGTCTATGGCATTTATTTCGCCAATTGCAGACACACTACCTCGCGCACGTGGCCGCAAACGCTCATTTCGAGACAGCGTTAATGGAAACATGAACGCGACTTGAAATCAAATATCAAAGAGTTATAGGTGGCGCTCTCGTAAATGCGACGCCTTGCGCACCTCTTGCAATCATGTCTAAAAAGTTCAACCTTGACTTTCTAATGGGGAATAAAAGTTTTGAAAATATTTATGTTGCTTCTTCTCTTTTTTTTTTTTATATATCACAAATGCCAGACATTCACACAGTGGCGTATAGACTTTTTTTTTTTTTTAAATCGAGTGCAGCTCCAACTTCTGCACCGATGTAAAGCTAGAGAGTTGGGATCACAACTTCCAGTCAAGTCTGCATTGCAGCCGAAAGTGTTAAACAGAGAAAATGGCTGGTCTGACCTTTAAAACAGTGCGTCAAACACATTTGGTTCACACACCTCTACAAAAGGTCGAGTTGAAGCACTTAGCTCAGGCTTTTAAATCAAATTCCAAGCCTTTTCACTTTCGGTGATGCTGAGCTGACTTGTACGTTTACAGAAATGTAATGCATGCTGTAATTTCAGGGCGACATTGAGCCATACACAAAGTATTCCGTGTTCCTCTGAATCAAACGAAACTACAAGTTCGTGCCGGCATATTTTACCTGACATGCAAAATGCTAGCTATCCAATCAGAGAGCAATTTGTTGTGGAAAAAAAGTGCGACCGCGTTGAGTAATTTAAAAGCGCTCAATTAACATTGATACCAAAATATTGAAAATTCAAAAATTGTAAAGCATCCCAAGAAGCCTGAAACAGTCAAATACAATCATTTCAAGCACCCAAAATAACAACCTTTTAAAATCCAAGTCCCAGTTGGTCCTACAAACACAAAAATGGGCATCACAAGCACTCCAAAAAACTGAGAATGCAAACATTTTCAAGCACCTCAAAACAATAACGTTCTTAGCTCAAGCATTCCCAAGGATGCAAAGCATCACAATTCAAGCCTCTCAAGCATTAGTGGAACCCCTGAACACAAAAGGGAGGGGTTTTGCGTGGTAATTGTGCTGTCATCGTGCAAAATCAAAGCATTTCTGAGCATTCTGAAATGATAAAGCATTTCAAGCATGCCAGGCACTCAAAATATTAAAACACAACCAACTAAAGGATTTTAAGGACCAATTGAACACTGCACACAAAAAGTTTGATCATTACATGACTTTCTATGCTACCCCCCCCAAAAAAAAAACAATCAAAGAATTTTCAAGTGCGGTACCGTATTCCAAACGAGTCCAAATACAAAGCATCCCTGCCACTGGAAACATTTAAAATCAAGCAAATCAGAACTTGAAGCACCACAAAACATGACAATTACAGTATGTCTAGACCCCCCCCCCCCAAAAAAAATACAAAGCATTCTAATTAAAGCATTTCAAGCACCAATGGAACCCCCGAAAAAAAGGAGGGAATTGTGTGGTTATTGTCACATCGCCGTGCAAGATAAAGGCATTTTCCATCATCCTAAGCACCCTAAAACTTCCAACGTTCAGGCATTTTCATATTTTAAGCACCTCGAAACATTTCAATGTCAGCATTTCGAGCACAAGGGGAGCCCTGAACGGGGTGGGGGGTTGGTTGTGTGGTCATTGTGCTGTCACCATGCAATGCAGCATGCTCAACCTTACTGCTACTCTTTTATAATAGTTACTATCCCTTTAATATGTTTTCATAAAAATGGGCAGGACAGGCTGGTCAGTGTCGCGTCTGGGGGGGGGGGTATGAATAATACCCCCTATGAATAATACCCCCCCCAAAAAAAACCTCCCCCAGGACTGAACGTGTTGCTCAGGGCCCACGAGGTGATGGATGTCACATTGCGATGCTTCCGAGCGAAAAACTAGGGCAACATAACGTCCCCCCCACCCTAAATATTGACTGGACCCCCCGCCCGCCTGGTTAGTTACTTCCACATTGCTATATATTCAACCACGCAGGTTGACGCAATGCGTTGTCCGGGCAAGCCCTCAAGTGTCACATCCGCGCCAAGTACACCTTCCGTGGTTGGGCTATTCTGGTCCCGGGTGGGTTTTCTTCCCGGCAGAGGAAGGCAAAAGAGCCGCTAGGGCGAGTCCTCATTGGCGGGTGTGCGGTTTAGCCCTCCCTCGAACTAGCTAACCGCTGCCATTTCCACCCCCCGCACTGAAACAACGCCTCATGATAAACAAACCGAAAAATAAAAGATGCACGACTTACGTTCTCCGTGTCACGCTCGTTCACCGTGGGCAATGGCGTCCTGGTCGACATCTTGTGTGAGGGGGGGGAGCCTGGCAAAGAGGCCGCTCGGCGGACGGGCACACAGCAGACGCGGCTTCTTCGGGTCCCACTTTCCTCTCTACATCCCCCCCACCCCTTCCTCAGCACAAAGCCAAGCCGGCAGGAAGTGCGCAAACGGCGGCTAGATTAGCGAAGCATTGCCCGGCCAACTGGGGCTCCGGCCGGCTCGCGCCCTGATGGTTTACGTTCGGTTCCGGGGTTCGGCGTGAGGAAGCTAGGCCGGCTCAGACTAGACGAGCACCGAGAGGAGGAGGAGGTGGAGGTGGAGGGAGGAGAGACCGATAGAGGGGGAGAGAAAGGGTGGGCAGGAAGGAAGATGCGCATCTCAAAACCTTCCACTATAGGAAAGGATGGAGGTCTCTCTCTCTCTCTCTCTCTCTCTCTCTCTCTCTCTCTCTCTCTCTCTCTCTCTTTTTGTGTGTTTCTCTCTCTCTCTCCCCCT